AAGTTGGGACCGTTGGTTGCAGATTAATCATTTACTAGAGATGGCAGTTTCCAAAATGACGTATTTAGGAAAATGTCACTATAAATACTGTGGCCAGTTCTCAGTGAGGTATTCACCATCATCATGAGGGGAATCATCCTAGCACTACTGCTCGCACTAGCGAGTGAGTGACCTTGCCCTATATTTAGTATGACTTAGACAACTAGATATTAATCTTTTTCTTTAGCATATACTTATCATTAATATTTAAATGTTTCACTTAAACACTGTTTTATTCTTTATTTAATTTAAAGATTTTTTAAAATTATAATTAACATTACGTACAAATGAATAGGATTGTAATTATTGTTTTGTTGTTAAATTTAATGTGATACATAGCCAAAGTTAAAACATTATTGTATGGATTCCTTTTTTTAAATACTAACATTATTATGGTTGTGACTTTCTTCCACAGGTAGTGACAAGTCACAAAATGGTGAGTATTATTTTAATTTTTTCCTCTCTGTTTCCTTTAAATCTATAACTTGTATCTACAAGACAGACTGGAGCAGCTCTGTACACTGTTACCTAAGGCTATAGGTCTAATTTAGCAGAAGTGTTTAAAGGAACATGAATTCCTTTTTTTCTCTAAATCCAACCATCTGATTGGTCTTTTTTTTTTAAATGTGGTAAAACAGAATAAAATAAAGAAAATGACTAGCTGATATGTGAAAGAAGAACAATCCTTCTTCCGAAAGCTTTCACAATATGGACTCATTATGGTTGTGTCACCATAATTTCTAGCATGCATTAAAAGCCTACGGTTTAGCTTAAAGCCAAACCACCCAAAGCTTTTTAATTAGTTTTGGATAGAGTGGGGAAGAGTTAGAGCCTGTCAGGTTTTTATTGCTATCAGTGTGTTTATTGTCTTATCACCTACTGTCAGGAGCAGTGGAGATTTTCCCTCATTTCTTGTTCCTGTGTTGTCCATAAGAAATAAGGGGGAGTGCAGATGTCAGCAGGAAAGAAAGGTAATTGTGATTCAGGTCTAAATGGAGAGTAGGCAGCTATAAAATGCCCAGTCTGTGTTGCTGACTATCTGTCCTCCTCTCATTGATGTCTGAAAGCTAAAGTATCTCCACTCTGCGCCAATAGCTGGAGATCAATAATGAGGATTGGCCCAGGGGGGAAAATCAACCCCTGCTCCCAGTTCTTCCCTGTATAAGGGCATACAGCATATCTCAATGGTTGAGTAACAATGTCTAGTGTTGCTTGCAAATTGCACTGTAGGTGGGCTGTAAAATTGCATAAAGAGAGCATTGTTAATGTCGGAAATCATGTTAAAGTTGTCAATGATATTTCATTTTCCATTACTGTAAACTCATAATGAATTTATATTTCTTTACTATATTGCAGAACAACTCTTAAATCCCGCCAAGACCTATGTTTACGTCTATGAAGGAATTCTCATGAACGGCCTTCCGGAAAATGGACTTAACAAAGCTGGTCTGAAAATAGGCTTTTCGGTTCAACTCGGTAGCTATGGTCAAAAGGAGTTCCTTGCTCAGGTAATAAATTGAGTCTAGCTCACATTTTTGTGTTCTGATCCCCTGATCCCTCATTTAGATTTCTATCTACGGGGATAGATAAACAAGGAATTGGGTTATAAGATTTGTTCGAAAAGAATACTTTCTCCCTTTTCCTACCTCTTGGCAAATGCCAAATGTAGCTTATTCTTGATCAGATAGGAATACAATGGGAACAACATTTGCAAGAAGAACAATCAGTGAACAATTAGCTTTCTAAACATTATTTCCTGTCTTATTTTGTTATGCCACTCCGGTTCTTAAAGTGTCAAAACCATTGGGAAACTTTGTTGCCCAAGGCAATCCTTTCCTAAACTTTTGAACCCCAGCGCCAACCAAAATCTGTTGTGGGATTTCCCCTACTTTTTCTCTGCTTGCAACAGCAGGACAAGAATTCTGGGGCGCAGATGTCACTGGGAGAGGAGGACATTGCAGTAATAATCACGAAAAAAAGTTCTAATCCTCCCACATCTTACGGAAAAAGTGTTTTGTTACAGTGTGTGTCCACTGGAGAGATTTCCCATAACTTCCTGTCCTGACACAACATGGGGGAAGATCTCCCTTGTGGGAACACAGTACACAAATTAAAATCTGACAAAGGTTCTAACCCTTTTACACTTAGCCCAAAATGAAAAAAAAAAGATGTTTTGGCTGGAGTTTAGACTAATTTATAGATGATCTAAGACATCTTGCCTACAACTGTAGTCATTCAATAGAATTGGTAAAAGGGCACAGCAATGACTAGTAGAATATCTTTTGGTCACCGTCCTCTGGTTAATACCTAAAAAATATTAATTCAATGACTTCTCTTTCCTCTCCAGATTTCTAATGTTGATGTAAAGGAATATCATGGCCAGTGGCCCAGAGATCCTTTCACTCGATCCTCTAAACTGACCCAAACCCTTGAAGATCAGCTCAAGAAGCCTTTCAAGTTTGAATACCACAGTGGTCGTGTTGGAGACATCTTTGCTGCAGATGGTGTGTCAAGTACCGTGGTCAACATCATTAGAGGAATGCTCAGTATGGTGAATGTTCAAGTCAGGAAATCACAGAATATTTATGACCTGGAAGAGGTTAGTATTAAAAATATTGTCAATGATTACTGTAGATATGAGAGAAAAACAAAGTACATTAAAGCTAGTAAGGTTATATAATTAGACTCATCATAAATGTATCAAAGTTTATAAAGGTATAGTTCTTGCTTTCCAGCTTTAAAGGTTTTAGTTCATTTTAGAGACGTGGCGAAGAGTAATATAAAATCTTACCATGAAACCTTTTGAAAGGATAGCCCACCTTGTTTTTAATTGATTGCCTTAGAGTTAAATCACCCAAAAGTATCTTAGATCTCTTGGGCTGTTGTTGGCATATTAATTTCCTGGGTTTATGCTCCTGCTTTGGCCATTATGAGGGTCTGTCACACTCCCCGTTAGATTGTTATGTATTTTATAATACAGAACATTTAACAGGAGGAGCTGGAACACACAAAGGACGGTAAAAACACACAAAACTCCCTGGTGGACAGGAAAAGAGTTTGGAATCATGGCAGGGAAATCTTGCCATTCGAAGAGCCCAGGGGCTACCCCAGCCAACTAGGCTCTATCTATATCTAAGACGATAAGAAAATGGATCAGAGGAAATTGCAAAGAAATATACAGTCCCAATGCAGACAATATCTTCTGACTGCCCAGGTAGTGTCTACTTTGTGTAGTCTACTTTGCTACATTATTATTCCAACTCTCTGTCATGACAGAGCCCATTGTAATTCACAGAGACCATAGAAGAGAGAAAGTTTCTGACAACATTATTTACTTTCTTTTCTAGGAGTGCCTTGCTGGAAAATGCCTGACCAGGTATTTGATCCAAAAAGATGACAGAAAATCCAACTCTATCATTGTTATGAAATCCAGAGATCTTGACAGATGTGAGGATCGGGCAGTAAAGAGAATTGGAATGCCCTTCGCGGAGCCTTGCAGAGCATGCCAGCAGGTATGCCAGGAAACCTAGGACGGGGTCCAAAGCTTCAAAGGATGCTTTATGCCACTTTACATTTTAGTACACGTGAAACACAATTATTTATATGATTTATAAACTGGATATCCGCATAAGAAACTGGATATGCACAATTCTTTACCTAAAGGGTATCGGAATGAAGTTGACATAGATGTCACATAAGTAAATGAGTCAGACATACCCGAATATCTCAGTTGTAGCACTTCCTTCACCTGTTCTTTTTTTGGCCAATCAGTCTTGAGTTTGGTACATTGTGGGAAGGTTTTTGTGATTATGTGGAGATCCTATCAGGTGTTTTGGGGGGTAAGGTTAAAACTTATATAACATTCACTGAACATTCCCCCATTTTCTCTCTCCAGAAATCCAGGCACTTGCGCAGACTGCAGACATTCACCTATAGATTGAGATACAAGGGTCATGAGGCAATCATTGAGGAAATCCGTGCCAAGGAACAAATCCAATTTGCCCCATTCCATGAGCTTTATGGAGCTGCATTAACTGAAGTCAGGTAGAGTATATCTAGTTTTGCAGAAAAAGTACCAATATACAACAGAACTATGCTATAAGGGTTTTTTTTATGTAAAGTGAGGGAAAAGCTGAACTCCTGGCAGATATAAAATATACAAATTACTGCAGCTCTGTGAAAATTAATAGATAATTAAATGTATTTTTTTTTAATGCAAGCAGTATTAGTCTCTGAATTTGACTTGGTAGCAGCCACTTACAGTCCTTAAACAGCAGGGATGGATTGTGAGAGGAAGCAGAATTAGTTCATGTGCTGCCAGGATGTATGCTGATAAGAGAAAAAAGAAGAGTGACAAAGAGATCACAACTGAGATCTCTGTGAAAGTCACAGGCAGGGGGAGTCCAGCGTGACCTGGGCTCAGAAGAAGGGGGTAGGATGATGATGGCCAACAGACTGAGGACATCTAGGGGCAGAAAAAAATGACCACAAGGGAAATCTGTGGGTTAAAGCTGAACACTGCAGCCAGCAATAGGCTATTCATGTGATCTTGATATTTTTAGCTGATGTTCTGCTTTAAGGAAAGTCGTCCTCGGATTTCCAAAGCTAAAGCTACACTTTTAAAAGAGCAACAATCCTAAATTAAAGATTATTCATATAAAGAAGCTTTTCATTGACAAATATTTGTGTCAGGGCAAGGAAAAGCTAAAATAACTGACAGATCTTTCACATATTCTATGGCTCAGGATCTAACCCTGCATGCTTAAATATTAAAAGCTTTTGTGATATTTGTGTCCCTAGGTTGGAGATTTTCTTTATGTCAAGAAGAAGTAAGGAGAATCTCTGGAAACAAATAAAACCAGTAATGTCAGAATCACATTCGTGTTGTTGCCTGTATCTACATTAAAGTGCACCTCTGCCCAGACTATGGATATGAAATGATTTACATAATTTTAAAAAGCAGTAACAGATCTTTAAAACAAGCTAACCCTGACTTCCCTCGCTGCTTGTACTGAGAAGTATTTATCCTCAGAGATTATGAATATTATATTATTATTATACAGGATTTATATAGCGCCAACAGTTTGTGCAGGGCTTTACAATATAAGGAAGACATTACAATTCATGACAAAATGGTAAAGGAGATCACAGCAAAAAATCTAAAGTTGAGTTTCAGTTGGTTTCTTGCAGCTTAGAAACCCCTGCTGTGTATGTTTACATTAGAGGGCTGGTGGGCTGCCAAGATTCTGTGCCTCTCTTGTGAATTTGAAGATGAATTTCTCCACAATGCCTATACCTGAGGTGAATAAGGGCTCATTTTAAAGTGCTTTTACTGCTCGTTAAAGTTAAATAGCTTAGTGTGCATAGTCTAAGTACAGGTTTACTTTAAAAATAACTTCCTGCTATGTCATTATCACAGAATGTCTTTAACAGGGACACGAATGGCCTAACAGATGTCATAGCCCTTTCTCCACCCTTTCCAAAGCCAAGAACAAAATGTTTAAGAAAGATTTTGCTTAGCCTAAACAGTTTATATGTTATGTTTTAGTAGGAAAGTATGATCTAAAGGTTGCTTTGGCTCCACATATGGAAAGAAGTTTGAATTGAAAGGGTTGTCGCTGTAGCATCCAATATAAGGTTCCAGCTGCCAATAATTTGAATCCTATTGGTTACTGCACATAGTGTACTTGTATTCACATGAGGCCTTTGATAGTATTGTCTTCTTCTTACAAAACATATTAAATAGTAAATTAAAGAAATTCCTGTTCTCTTGCAGACAAGTTCTTACCTTGAAAGAAATCAAATCCAGCAGCATGAAGGAGCCTCGCTCACAATTGGATAACCGTGGAGGATTAAAATACCGCTTTGGCTCAGAAGTCTTCCAAATGCCTGTTCACTTGCTAAAGTCTAAGAACCTTGAGTCCCAGGTGAGAAAACATATCTAGGATAAATGAGAGAAATTACCTTTTAATGGAGAGCAACATTAAAAAAATAAGGAAAATGGCCTTTTATGGGGAGCAACATTTAAAAATAAATGAGGGAAATGGCCTTTTATGGGGAGCAACATTAAAAAATAATGGAGTCACACCCGGCAACACAGATTTTTTTTTAAAAAGTATAATTTGTTGTTAAGTGGCCACCACTCCAAGCTAACTCCCGTGATGGACTACAATCTCAGTACAAATTAGTAAACTAAACATGAAATTGTAGTCCATCACAGTGAGCTTCGAGTGGTGGCTACTTTACAACACACACAGGGACCATGGGGAACAAAAGTAGCCCCCCTCCAGAAGGAAGGACAGTGTCAGCACCAATTCAGAGATGATTTGAGGATCTACAGCCGAGTGATACACAAATAAGATAGATTTTTGTTTATAATTAAGTTACTTGAATGCATTTCTAAGATTTAAATCCCTAGTTTTGTGTCACTTTAAATCTGATCTATCTAAGAACCTATCCCCGTTTGATACAAAGCTAGAAAATAAAGTTCCAATTTAAGCAGCTACAAAGAATCTATGTACAGTGATGAAGTCCTCATGCATTGCCCAAGTACGTGAAAACAGCAAGGAAGGTCATTCTTTCTTAAAATGCAGCTATGGATGAGAACATGTTAGAGCTGACCCCCCTTCCCCCATTTGTTCTGTAATTAGCCCTAGTTTGGTAAGTGCCTATAGGTTAAAACACATCATTGCTATTTGCACTATGCAGTAAATGTTTTTCTATACCCATGCCCTTCATCCACTATATTCCAGATTTCAGACACCCTTCAATACTTGGTCCAGAATAACCAGCAAGAAGTCCAAGAAAATTCTCCAGCCAAATTCCTGCAACTGATCCAACTCCTGCGTGACACAAGCCCTGAAAATCTTCCAGCCCTGTTCAAGCAGTACTCGGACAGACCCCAGTTCATGTACGTAGCCAAGAGTGACTTAATTTCCTCAATTTCCTTTGAATTAGCTTTAGAAAGTATCCTTGATCATTGTGAATGACAGAAACAAGAGTTTGTACTGCTAAAAAATATTTACTTTATTTCTCAAGAAAGACCCCAGTGGATTGCATGCATTCCAAAATTTCAAGGGTAGACTAGTAGGGAAAAGGCATGAGTGAATGAGCAGGCATTATTTGAGTTTAAAGGGAGCCCAGATTGCATTTTCAGTGGGTGCTTTTTTTAACTAATTTTTTCATTGTTTCCCTTAAAGTATAACTAAATTCCAATTGGGTTCCTCAAGGCTTTTGCCATTAGATGTGCACATAATGGCAGAAGTATTAGCTAGAACGGCACCCTTCCAGTGATGCAACCGCTGTGATCTCCTTAGTTTTTCTTCTTGGTTTGGCTTCTTCAGCCATCTTGATTGGCTATCGCAGGATGATGTAACCCATTTACATGTGCACAGGGCAGTTCATCCCTTTACCCAAGGCATGCTGAGAATGTACACTGAGCTGTGCATACATTTAAAAGAAACATTGCCAGCAGGCAGAAGATGAGCTTTTATTGCAGGAGAGACGTACAGAGTCTCTTCTGCAATAAAAAGACTACCTGGCAACAATTTTTAATTAAGAAGCTATAGTTCTGCTTTGAAGTTTAACTAATTCAAAACTTTTTTTAGATTTTAGATTTAGAGGGGTGAGACGTTAGAACCACTGTCAGGTTTTTATTGATTTGCTCTCTCTTATTGTCCTGACCACCAATACCACCAATACCACCAGGAATAAAAGTAAGGGTAAATCCTAAATCAACAGGAATAGAGGGAAATTCTTACAATGGTGACACTGGTTCCATTGACAACTGTCTAAGAGGGGATTTCCCTTACATTGGCAAGATATCTTCTCAGTTGCTGTTGGGCCTATGGGACTGGGAATGAAAGGAAGCTCCCCAACAAGACACAGATGGCAAAAAAATTTGGCAGCTGTTTAACCCTCCACTACTCTGTCTAAAATGAAAAAGCAGTGTTAGTCTTCGATATATTTTAAGTCATTTTTAAAATGATTCACATTTTTACAGCATTATTGTTTGTTATTCAATTAAATGTAAACATTTGTTGATAATAAGCCACTAACGAAACTTTTAGTGGTTCTTGGAATTGTATCTCTACTAGCAACTGTTGAGATAAGATTTTGGCCACATAGTGAGCCAAAACTCAATAGAAACAAAGCGAGGACTGGGGGACGGTAAGCAGAGCCCCATATTGCAAAAAGACTAAAACCTGCAATACATCGGTAGAATTTTGTTTGAAAAAATTTGTTTTTAGAACGTTTGTTTAATTTTCTAATAGTTAATGGGGTCAAATTGACCATCAATTTTGACCGTAGTTACGGAAAAAAAAGAAGAAGGAGCAGGATGGAAAACTTTTCTTAAATTAATGAAGTTCTAACAGTGAATGTGGTTCACTAAAGAAACTCCAATCATTTCTAAAATCAAATGCTAATATAAAAAGAAATTTCAAACAAAATTAAGCAAATCTCTGGTGGCATTATTGAATGTTCTGATGAGATTTTTCATATGAACTTTGAAATGAAAATATACTAGTAAATGGACAACTTAACTGATGCCATGGGGTTTTTTTTTGCAGGCAGTGGATGATAAAAGCCATCCCCCTGATCGGAACACCTGAAGCTCTCATGATAGTCAAGAAGAACATCCCCAACCAAAGTGCCCAGGAAGCTGCCTTGGCCATCACTCTTGCTATGCAGTACACAAGAGCCAGTCAGCATGCCATGCAAAATACACTTGTGAGTCTTATTTCTTCTGCACTGCATTATTCCTTATTTGCCCTGTCAGTGTAGAATTAATCAACTTATATTCCTCCCCTAGGATCTGCTGGAAGATTCCAGGGTTCAAAACTCACCAGTGCTACACAAGGCAGCCTTGTTGGGCTATGGTTCTATGGTCAATAAATTCTGCACGATTTCTGATACTTGTCCTGATTCATACATGCAAGTGAGTGGCATTTCTTCTTTGCTATTATTATTAGTAGTAATATACTGTGTAGTAGTTGTATTTTTTCTATATCTAGTAGTATAATTCATACTTGTCAACTCTCTCTTATTTCCAAAGACAGTAACAATAGTTTTCCCACATTGTCCCATGGGAATGTCATTGGTGGTTTGTACCAAATATTTGTAAAGAAAAAACATTTTGTATACATTTGGATGGAGCATAAAATGGTTCAAACCCCTGTCAGTCACTGGCATCCCATTGGGGAGATTTCCGTTGTCTTCTTTTCCTGGGGACACAACAGGAAAGAAGAGGCAATCTATCAAAGTTGAGGAAACAAGTGTCTCCTTTGGAGGATTTTTCCCATTCCATTCCTGTTCTGGTAACAGCTCCAACTGGATTATTCTCTCGCTGTTTGCAGTATCCCTCCTCCCATCCTCATACACTTAGCCAAAGTATTATACACTGATGTATGAATAAAATAAATATTCTTCCAGTGCTCACTGTATGTTCTGATTTCTATTACAGCCCCTCCATGACTTTGCTGCTGAAGCCGCCAACAAAGGCCACATTCAGCACATCATATTGGCATTGAAGGCTATGGGCAACGCTGGTCAGATTGCAAACATTAAGCGTATCCAAAAATTTGTGCCAGCCTATTCCCCCAGTGCTTTCCAACTACCAGTCAGGGTTCAGGTTAATGCTGTGATGGCACTTAGGAATGCTGCCAAGAGGGACCCCAAACGAGTAAGTGTCTCTTCTAGAAAGTGAACTTGTTATAGAATTCAGTGACAACGTAACATACAGGGATCATAGCTGATCAAGCTTTAGAGAGTTATTTGCGCTGATAAATAGATATATTTTATAAGTCGACACTCAACAATTTACTGTATGAATAATTTACTGTAGTGCACCAGTCCACTCTAATTTATTTTGTCTGTAATCTGGGAATATCCTGATGGGAATGCCAAAGGGAAATAAACACACCCTTGTAGAATTCTCTGTTACTCCCATACAGGAACCCAGTTTAAAAATAATATCAGTACTAAAGAGTTTTTTACAGCTACCAGTCAGATTCTAATCAGCCTGGAAAGGATGAATGTAGAGGAAGTACGAATAGAGGAAGTTACAAAGCACAGGCTTTAGGAAGTACACTTCCAGTGTCCTAGTGAGGTATTCTCTGTATCCTGGCTGCAGTAGATAACAGAGAAATAGGAAAAAGGAGCCTTCACAAAGCTTGGTGAATAATGTGAAGCTATGTACACTTCGAATATCTTATGTGAAAGGGAAATGAAAACAACAGGACTTTAGCCTGCACATGACTGCGTGATTGAAGTAAGCACAGCTTCACCTTATCTACTAAGCAAAGTGAACATACACTTTATAAAATATTATTCCTTTAGTAAATTAAACCCAATGTATTGCACGATATTCTAATTATTCGAGTTTCACCTGTATATACGTACAGTATATAAAATTATTATTATTATGTTTCTTGATAAAAGAAAATGAGAATTAAAGTTAAAGCTTATTAATTGTCACGAGCAGGTCCCATTTTTCAAGTTTTTGCAGCCAATAGGGGAGCTTAGCCTGCAACCGTTTTTCATAAGAATTGCAACTCCCAGTATGGCAGTCACAACATTTTACATGTCATTTTAAAGGTTCAAGAAATTTGGTTGCAAGTGATACTGAACCAACACGTTCACACTGAAGTGCGCATGGCAGCAGCAGCAGCCCTGTTGGAGTCCAGGCCCTCAGCCGCTACTGTGACAACGCTGGCTCTTGCCATACAGAAGGAAAGTAAAGCTAATCTGCAGCTGGCTAGCTTTGTCTATTCTAACATGAAGTCTATGACTAAGAGCACCGTGCCAGAGGCCCATGAACTGTGAGTGAAGATTCATTGCATACATTAATTGCATACTGTAATGTTTACCATACATTTAGAGAATGTTATATGTTGCGAAAGAGATGGACAGCAAAGGAAGGGACTGCTTCTGTTCTGTGACCAGCTTTAAACTTGCATGATTCAACTGAGGAGGCCTCAAGTGCCTATATACAGTATATATATAATGTATATATATATATATATACCAATTAACTTTAGGTATCGGACGCTAATCTGATACCACTGTCAAAAAAAGCATAGAAGAACTCAAGAACAGAGTAGTTTTTAAGTATTTCTAAACTAGAACTTCTACCTTTTGAAAACTTGAGTAAGCTAGAACTTTCCTCTTTAGAAGTCTTGCCTCATGAGCAAATATCTACCTCCACTTCCTTGCCCCTCCATGGCATTACCTGTAAAATCAATTTAAAAAGACTCACAGTGAAACGTTTGATGGATTAGCAGGGTAATTAAAGGTGTAACGCTCTATGACCATTCCAGTGTAATGGTCCACCCTATCTGGTGAGTGCATTTTGGAACAAGTGGTGCCGCATGTGATTAGAGGAAGTTGTCACTCACAGTACAGCATTTGCACTTTGATTGGAAGATTTTGCACTAGTGTATGTTACACTGAACACATTTATGGACTGTTTTGCTCTTTTGGACTGAAATATTTGTAAGACTTTGTATTACCGGGGATTCTATTAGCCACTATTTGTTTATTGAATACATAGATCACCTATCTATTGATTTATACTGTACTATATATATATATATATAGTACAGTATACTACTATTTTATCAGTTATTATTTATGGAATTTAATGATATATTGATTTTTAGTGCTGGGAATCAGGTGTTATTGTTATAAAATGTGTAGGGAAACCTACCAATATCAAAGTTAGATTCTTATTCCTTGGTTAATTACTTAGTGAGCTAATGTTTTGTCTTTCGTATTAGGAATGCAGCCTGCAATGTTGCCATTAAGATCCTGAATCCAGCCTTGGACAAACTGAGCTGGCGTTACAGCAAATTCCTCCGATATGACACATTTAACTGTAAGTAACAACACTGGGCAGCCTTTACCCCTGACTATGCACAAGTAAGCTCCAATAACCAATCAGGAGTCTTGACTCTTTCTTTCTTGCTTTCTTTATTCTTTCTTACTTTCTTTCTTCCTTCCTTCCTTTTTTGCTTTCTTTATTCTTTCTTTCTTTCTTTCTTTCTTTCTTCCTTGCTTTCTTTATTCTTTCTTTCTCTTTCTTTCTTGCTTTCTCTCTTATAGTAGAAAATTGTTCCACTTACCCTGGATATGGAACCACTTCTGCACAAATAACTGTGCATCTATTTTTAATCAATGCCACCCTAATGCCACCCATTTATTTTCAATTCATAGTTACCTTACCATGCAAAACTGTCACATAGCAAAATATATGATCTTGTATAATGTGTTTCAATGTAACACAAGGAATGGGACAGTCAGGTAATGAAAATGTGTTGTGCTACGGATTATTTTAAATCTTCTCCACCCATCTGTGAAGATTCTCATTCATCCAGGTCATAATATATCTGTAAAAAATGAGTTGAAGTAACTGGACATGCTGTATTTTTCTTGAAGACATTTTGCTGGTCTCCCGACTAGTTTCTCAATTCTGAATTCATTTGAAGCTAGTCGGATGACCAGCGAAACATCGTCAGGAAAAATACAGCAAGTCTCGTTGCTTCGATTTATTTTTTACTTCTCCACCCGATCCAAAACTGAAAAAAAAGGTTTTTGCTTGAGTTCAGCAGTACAGATTTTTTTTTTTTAAACTTCCAATAAATATCAGAATCAACAACCTATAGCCAACACTTTTTAATAGGGATGCACGGATACTTTTCAGATGCCAGTGCCGATACTTGGCATTTTCATGAGAACTACCGGGGTTGCAGAGGTTGCAGCTGGGACCTGGTTCTGGCGCTCCACCACTGTCCTGAAATCATTAGTCTGTATTGTTTTAGAAAAACTGTCACATGACAATAAACAAAAATGTATCAGTTCTTGTATCTGTGAGTACTTGGGCAAGTATCGGTACTTGTACTTGCAAAACTGGTATCGGTGCATCCCTTTATTTATATTTATAAATACAAAATCATACATTAAAACAGAGATGTACAAATCCCAGGAGCTCCGTGTGCTCCTTACAAATGACAGCGGCCTCCTAACTTTTGAATTTTTCTCTAGTCTAGTCTTGGAGCTCGAAAAGTATCTGTATCTGTACTTGTACCGAGTACGTTACTTGGTATCGGTGCATCCCTAGTTTTTAATTATTTGGGTAAATAGGAAAACGGCTGGATTGGAAACCATAACTCTACTGGCAACTCTAATCATCATTTACTGGAACATTCTCTTCTTTTTATCTCTACAGATCCTCTGATGTCCGGTGCCACCATCAACATCATGATGATGAACAACCCCACCACCACTCTTCCCGTCAATATAATCTTTAAACTTAGAGGTTACATTGCTGGAGGTGCTACAGATATTGTTGAGGTTAGAGGACAATTACCATAAAATCATTACACCAATGTACTACAAATTTTGCTGCCTTTACAATTATGAATGTTTTTCCAGTTTGGCGTGAGGACCGAAGGACTTCAGGAAGTTCTGAGAAAACAAAACATTCCTTTTACCGAATATTCCATCAGTAAAAACATCATGAAGATCCTCAAAGCTGTGCGTATTCCAAACTCTCCGTGCTTTAAACAGTACTTGCTGTGACGCAGAAGTGGCAGCCATTTTGAGGACTGCGCCTAGAATTTTTCATTTTATTATTTTTTTATTTAGATGCTTTGTATAACATAAGACAATACAAAGTGCCTGGTTTTCGTTTACAAACCTGAAGAGCTTTCTATCTGTAAACTCTAAACACCCTGTTTGTAGGTCATAGATAGAACTTAAACTGTATGGCTAAGGCACTGAGAGATGCAGGTGTTAACAATCAGGGACTTAACTAAAGATCGTGGTGCCCCCATAGCAAAATTTCTATTGGGCCCCATGGCAAACCCCATAAAATTTTAATCAAGGACAGGTAGCAGGAGAGCTATCTGCATTGTCCCTTCCTGTACATCTGATATCAACTCTTCTTTATTGGAAATACCATAATGGGTACAGGATCAACAGCAACTTTACCAATCCTTCATGGAGCTACCTTCCATCACCAGGGCCCCTTAGCAGCCAAATGGCCTGCTATGGCTATTGTTACACCCCTGTTAACAATGCAGGGGGTAATGCAATAGCACAGCCCTCTTTATGGTAAATTTGCATGTTCTTTGGTGGTAGGGTGGGAGGAGCATGTCTTTTTCCATCAGAAAGATGTTTTTTTCCTACTGGTCCAGGACACAAACAATAGATATAAAGCTAGTGAAGCCTACTGGAATTTATCATGGATTGCTGCACAGTTTACCTTTACTGGCAGATATAAAACTTGCCTATCTTTCTCTCTTGAGAAATAATATTTCTCCTTCATGCACCGACAATTTTTACAGGCCCTAAGAAGGTGTGTTAAATGTGAAATCAACAGCAATTATTGCTCCAGTGGAATTGCAATTTCCCATAGACATGAGATAATAGTCAATTAATCAATGATGACATTTGGAAAGTTAGAGCGGCACTCTTGTGTTTGTGGAATACCAGGACCCCCTAAAGGCTGCCATTATAAAGAAATCTCACCCTTCATTATTGTTTCCATGTGAGAATATTGGTTTTGGCAGTATCTAAATGGGCTCTTCTCCTTTTCCACTGTCTATAGACAAAACAATAGGGCCATCTAGCAATGGGTGGGTCAGATCCTTTATGAACTTACAACTGCCCTGTAAGGTCTGAAGTGTCCACAACAACAAATAGTCTTGGTCTAATTTCAAGTAAAAAACAATAAGTCTGACAATAGATTTTTGGCTTGTGGGAGCAAGCTGGAACCTTCACAAGCAGAAGACTTCCAAACTGCAGAAAAGGTGCCGATAATCTTTTAACCCTGATCCCCAGTGCATCTGTGCAATCTGCCCAGCCACTATGCTGCCTAAGTCTTTTGCTTGTGCTAATGAATATCAGCTCAGTCGGAAAAATAGCTTCCTCTCTTACAAAGCATGTGTCAAGTATACCCAAGTTTCTGTTCTGCAGACTTTATTATATTGATATATTACTATTTTTTTTCCCAGCTGACTGGATTTAGATCTCTTCCTTCAGAGGTACCTCTAATCTCTACTCACGTTAAGGTCTTTGGTCAGACGATCCACTACGACGCAGCCACCAGAGAAACCATCCAAAATGCCTTCAAGGTAAAAAATGTTTGCCTATTCAGTAATGTGAAGGTTAATGCAGAACGTGATCACCTATAGCCTCTATTACTACTTATTGTTGGTGATTGGAATTGAGCAAAGTGAGAACTTATTGGTTGCTGTGGGTTCCTGCAGTTTGATTCATGTGGCTGTTGCTCTTTACAGTGCTCTGGTCTGTGCATTAAAGACCTTTGCATTAATTATGACTGAGTCTGAGCAGTTTTTTTGGGTATTTTATTTATTTTAGGCTGTGAATGAACCTGCTGCCCATTTCTCCATAATAAGGAAGATCATTAAGAAGATCCTGGGTGGACTTATTGGACAGTGGGCTTACCCAATGCTGCTGACAGAGGCCAGACACATCGTGCCAACCTCCATGGGTCTTCCTCTGGAGATGGCTCTACACTCTACCGCTTTAGCTAGCGTTGCTGTTAACAGTAAGATTTTTCATATTTATTGCAGGAAAATGTAGTGCAGCACATGAGTGCATCATTCCCATTAGATTTATTATAACTGAGAGCAAGCTCGGAATCATTAGTCATTGGCCAGTTATATCATGGTTGGTGATATGTATTGCTGGGACTTGTAGTCCTGCATAGTTCTGCATTATACAGCAATACAGAATGCTACCAACTATGCAGGACTACAAGCAATACATTATAATGATAATCAAATACCACTTGCTTCTTACCCCCCATCCTCCTGGCTCCTGGGTTCGGCCTTTACCTACAGCAAATTCACCAGACTCCTGCAGCACCTTCCTCGTCGTGGTGGCCAGGGGGCGGGACTAAGTGGAGAGGGTCCTCTCCAATTAAAGGGAGAGTAAATATATTAGTATAATATCCCTCTTAAAGCTGAACTCCACTCCCCCCTGTAGTCTTGCACAGTTGTAACGGCTCCTTTCCTGGACTGAAATAGCTAACTCTAAATTCCCCCTCACACTGCGAGTTTCCTACAATGTGCATTAGAAGCTGCAGCTAGTTAGATAGATAGTGTTACAGTACATAAAGTTACATTTAATACTTCTATATTTTACATTTCCATTATTGTCTGTGTAGGTTCTCATTCATCCAGGTCATGGTATATCTGTAAAAAATAAGCCAAGGCAACTGGATTGCTGTATTTTTCAAGCTTGGCATCTCCATTTTTACATAAATGCCCAGAGAACTTTTGTACAAGTCATTCTGAATTGAGAAAGCTGGTCAGATGACCGTTGAAACGCCTTCAAGAAAAATACAGCAAGTCCAGTTGCCTTGACTTATTTTTTACAGATATATTTCCATTATTGATTAAACCAAATTAACGTGCTTCTGACCACCACCTATGACAGCATCATATTACATTGGCTAGTGTTGGGTCGGGGAAGTCTTTAGACACTTACAGTTCCACTTTTGCAGTCAGATTTGAGACAACCCCTCTATATTTTTGTTGTGTGTTCCTATTCACACAGCATACCAAAAAAAGTTTTTAAAATATTTATTACCTATAAGATGTTTTGTTGCAGCAGGCAATCCAGGTTTTTCTGAGCACCTTCACGGTGATCTGTCTTAAGGTGCCTATACACCTTACAACCATTGCAAGACTTTTGTCTCCCAAGAACGGCACAAACCCGCGGACAATCGTATGATTCTCGGGGGTTTTCAAGTCTGTATGGGAGACAAGAGACATGCGACCGTACAGCAGAAACGGTGCACGCCTTCCATACACCTGGCGATTATTGTACGATCGCGGTATTTCCCGCGATTATTGTACGATATTGTACGATAGACTGAAATTTAAGGATTGTGTTTCTCTCATTGACGTCATTAACATACATTGAAGAAGCCAGAGTTTTAGTCCTTTAACCCCTCACAGCCACACCTAACATTACAAAGAAGGAAAAACAAGTAGAAACGTTAACCTTTAAAGGAGAACTATGGGGTCAGTGTTTTTCCTCATAGTTCTCCTTAGGGTAACGGGAGGACACAAACTAGTGTCCTCCCATTACCCTAAGCTCAGTATACCGTGAGCTACAGCTCGCGGTATACTGAGACGCCGCAGCCAGAGCGGATCCCGACGTAGATGACGGGATCCACCCAGCTGCGTGAGTGACAGCAGGCTAGAACTATGTGAGTGGAAATCACTCATCTCATAGTTCTCCTTTAAGAAGCCAAGAAACCCCTAACCTAAGTAAAAGCAATTTAAACTGCAAGAAGCATTTTTTAAATATTATTTTAGTTCATGTGAATGAGAACACGTAACAAATATAAAATGGGTGTTATCCCAATTTGGCTGCAAAAAGTGCAATTACACTTTAAAGTTTAAAGAAGAGAAAGAACTGAGAGTCCGGAAACATATTTCCAGCCCTAAAAATAGGAGTGTCAGAGTCAAACAGCTGTATAGCATGAGAGCTCTTGGAATTCAACGTGACTCCTTAAAATGAGGGGTTTTCTTTTTCAGCTGAATGAGTTTTTCTTTACCGTCATGTCGGTTTTATTTGTAAATAGCTATAGTTTTGTTTTTTTTCACTTGCTACTTCTTTATTGAATATAATTAATAAATAAATAAAATATTTAATTTTTCAGTTGACATGAAGGCCAACCCAACCCCATCAAGTGATGTGAGTATTGCTCAGCTGCTACAGTCTGCAGTCCAGATCCACGCTGACCTTTCCCCCAGGTAAGCATCTCCAACTCTGTAGTATTATACCATAAAATTGTACCTCTAAAGATTTGCAAGGGCCGGTGCACACCTAGGTACAAGTACCTTTTTTCTGCGATACACGACGTTTAGCGTGTTCGGAAAGAACGGGCGGAATTGCGGCGGGAAACTGCGCAATCTGCCCGGCGTGACTGGGGTACCATTGAAAAATAATGGCACCCACAGAGCGATTGGTGCAAACCTGGGCAACTCCTGACCGCGCGGCAATCCGCGCAGCAATTGTGGGGCGTCGCCTAGGTGTGCGCCAGCCCTAAATGTACTAATTGAAGTAAGCACGTGATGAGACCCTAGCAAAACAGTTGCTTTCTGTAAGCTCAGACAAAATGGCTACTTTTGCAAAATACAGATAATTCGCAGGAGAGATCAGATTACACACAGCTGATTAGGTAAGAAGAGGGACGCTCTGTATTGATCAATCAGTCATACGCAGGTAGCCAACAGGCATGGCTTACCAAACTAGCGTTATGGAAGCACCCGGCACCTAATGTTTGTTTGTTTGCTTGGATCAGGTGACCATCTAATGTCTATACAAGCAGCCCCGAATGACCCTTCTTGGATTACAAGGTGCTCAAGCAAGACATAAATCCTTACATTATTATCATGACAATTGCCCTGTTAATGTGAATAGATATCATTCTTAAACAAATGCTCATTTTATTTTTAATGCATTTAGTAAATATATATTAGTATAATATCCCTCTTAAAGCTGAACTCCACTCCCCCTGTAGTCTTGCACAGTTGTACCGGCTCCTTTCCTGGACTGAAATTGCTTACTCTAAATTCCCGCTCACACTGCGAGTTTCCTACAATGTGCATTAGAAGCTGCAGCTAGTTAGATAAAGCCCGCCTCCTTTACAGGCTGGAGGACATTCAGCATTATCTAGCCCATTCCTCCCAAGCCTTAGTGTCACTGGCCCAGTCCCTTGCAACTTGAAGAAAAACGTTTACATTGATGCTTTATGCCCTCAGATCTGATCATGTGTTTTCCTTTTATCTTCAGTTTTGCAGCTCATGCTGTTGCAACGATGGGAGTCAACACAGCCTTAGTTCAGTCCGCAGTCGAAATTCATGCGCACGGCCAGGTAGCCACCCCGGCTAAATTAAATATCAAGTTTGATGGTAGAGAGCAAAATTTTAAGATTGAAACTGAACCGGCCAGGCAGGAGAAGGACATTGTAACATTAAGGTAATGTGTACACCATATACAGTATTTCACGCCTTTATGTGTGTCCCATCATCATTATTTATTATTATTGTTGATTTTAGTTTTGCTACTTTTATATGTTTTCACTTTATAGCAGTAGGCAGTGATAGTAGGGAGTCATAGTAGGGAATGATAGTAGGCAGTGATAGTAGGCAGTGATAGTAGGCAGTGATAGTATTCAGTGATAGTAGGCAGTGATAGTAGACAGTGATAGTAGACAGTGATAGTAGACAGTGATAGTAGGCAGTGATAGTAGGCAGTGATAGTAGGCAGTGATTGTAGGCAGTGATAGTAGGCAGTGATAGTAGGCAGTGATTGTAGACAGTGATAGTAGGGAGTGATAGTAAGCAGTGATTGTAGGGGGTGATAGTAGGGAGCGATAGTAGGGAGTGATAGTAGGCAGTGATAGTAGACAGTGACAGTAGGCAGTGATAGTAGGCAGTGATAGTAGGCAGTGATAGTAAGCAGTGATAGTAGGGAGTGATAGTAGACAGTGATAGTAGATAGTGATAGTAGGGAGTGATAGTAGGCAGTGATAGTAGACAGTGATAGTAGACAGTGATAGTAGACAGTGATAGTAGGTAGTGATAGTAGGGATAGTCAACCCACATAACCTGCAGTAGAGCACCGTGAATGGAATGTAGAGGGTGGAGATGAGAGGCAACACATCCATATGTTTAATATAAAGGCCTAAACATAAATGCTGAGGCAGCCATTAATGCTTAAGTCTAAAGCTGTGGCAACAGACATTTAATACCTTCATGTCCAAGTGTCACCTTCTATCTACAACCAGCTTAGGACACAAACACCCACTGTTGTTGACCATGGCATTAATTGTGTAATTCTGCTCTTATTCAGAACTCAGTCATTTGCTGTATCCAGAAACGCTGAAGAGTTGGATTCTGCCAAAAAGACTCCAATTGTACCTAAGGGAGCCGGACCCAACATCCTGCAGAAACATTTCGAGAAATCTGAGAAGTCCTCTGCAGAAGCTGCAAGCATGATGGTAATTCTAAAGTGGAACATTATCCATAGGTTCTGCTTGTTTTTGGTTAGAGCGGGGAAGGCTTAGAAATGTTGTCAGATTTGTTGAATGCATTTTTGTGTTTCCACTTAGGAACATTTTCTTCACTTCCTGTCATGGTGGTCACTAAAACAGGAAGCAAGAGGAAATCTCAAAGGCCTCGCATAGATGGGCTTCAGCTTATATAAGATCAGTGGGTACAGCAAGCTTTTAGAAAGCAGTTGCAAAGATTTCAGCCAGTTTCAAGCAGCTCCTGTTGAATCCTTTAAAGCCACCCTGAGCTCCAGTTTGGGGACATTAAAGACAGATATAATGGGCATGCAATTTAAAACAAAAGCTTCTAGCAGGCTTTAGTAGGCTTCAGCTCAGCCTGAAGGTTGCTGAAACATGCTAGCAGCTCTTTTAGAGTGGCAATCAGTTTAATATCCCTATACTGGAACTGAATTTGCTTTGAGGCAGGGGTAGGCAACCACGACACTCCAGCTGTGGTAACACTACAAATGCCATTATGCATCTGCTTCGAACAGCCATGCCTGTGGCTGCCAGTTTTACAATGCCCAGGGCCGGATTTACTCTCTCTGCTGCCCCAAGGCCAAGTTCCTCAATGCGCCCTCCTACCCGCCAAAACCTCCCTCCATGGAGATTGGCAGACCTGCAGGCTGCATACAAGTGATCTCGGCGACATTACCGGGATCACTTGTACAAAACAAGCTGTGGTTTCCCACTGTACATTTAGCTCTGCTTGCTCAAAGCAGGGCTAAATGTAGAAAACAACTACCTGCCCAGCGCCCGCCACTGCATGTCCCAGGCATCGGGTGAATAGGAATTCCACACCCCTGCTGCCCCTCTACTCCCTGCTGCCACGAGGCCGGGCCTCGGATGGCCTTGTGGGAATTCTGGCCCTGGCAATGCCTCATGGGATTTATAGTTTCACCACAACCGGAGTGCTGAATTTGCTTACCCAAGGTCTTCAACACCTCAAAAACTTGCTGCACACATTGGTCTTTCACAAACCCACATGTGCAACGCCTAATGGGGACATATACTGCAATAACAACACTTACCTTAGCACAGGGGAAGGCCAACTCCATTCCTCCAGCTGTGGTGAAACTACAAATATCATTGTGCATCTGACTCTGGGAGTCATGCCTTGCAATGCTGAATAGGATTTGTAGTTTCAGCACAGCAGGAGGGCCGGAGTTTGCCTATCCCTTGTTTAACAGCAAGAGGAAAAGCCAGAACTTCTCTCAGGTTTAATTGCAGTCTGGGATTCCTTTCACTCGCCACTAGCTGTGGTTCCCCTCACTTTGTGCTTTAGCAGCAATGGCCACGAAACCAGAAACTGCTATGAATATTCCTGCACAGGGATCCAAGCATAAGGGAAAACCCAGAAGGTGTTCTAACCTTTCTCTATGCTATCCAAGACTGAAAAAATATGGTTTTAACTAAAGTTTCACTTTAAATCTGCATTTTAATTGGACTGGCTTATTTACCAAATCAGAGCAATAGGCAAAGTGCAAAATTAATTCTTCACTAAATTGTAAATGGTTGTCTTCAGCTGTCAATAACCATTCTTGTAAGTAGAAGCAGCCATTTTGTCCTACAGATATTGTAGGAATCATGTAAGATGAGTCAGTGCCCCTGTATTAGTTCACTATGGCAGCTAAGGCCTGTTGTGTCTGTTGACCTATCTTGAGAAATGTGATATATCATTCACCATTCGGATGCAGCAATATGGCTGCACCATGAAGCCCCACTCCCTCCCTATCCAGCCCATCCAATTTTAACCAAAGTTGTGCAGCAGATACAAATCCCTGCCCTGCCGCAACAGACATCTGCAACTGGGGTGGAAACTGGTAGTTTCCCCACAGAAAGCAGTCAGTGTCTCAGTTCTTCGTTTCTAGATCAAAATAAAGGGAAATTCTAGTTGAAAGTGGTAACACAGACCACAGTTTATTATTCAGATGTTAGAACATTTGGTACATTTAAATAGACCTGTTTGACAACAATGCTAGACTATAGCTGTGCAAATAGCAAAGTTAGGTGCTGATCTGACAAAGAACTGAAAACTAGATACTGTTAGCCTTTGCATGTCATCATTTCCTGTTGCATTGCTTTATTACATAAGCCTCTTTTTTTGCATCCTAGGAGGGATCTTCTGAACTGACAGCTAAGAAATTTGCTTATCCTGGAGAGACCGGACAACACCAGTATGCACATTCACAGCGCTTCCACATATGCATGAAAGTCGCACATTTTCCTATGAAGGTCTGCCTCAGTCACAGAGGCTGTAATGCTGCCAGCCATAAGCACACCCGCTTGTATCAGCTTGTCGGTGTACATGAGGTCAAGTTAACTCTGAAACCAGGTAAGCACTCAAGAGTGTTACTATCTGCGAGAGTAGCCTTCTCAAGCAAATTGTCATAGCATCTCCTGACAGTCCCAGCACTTCGTCCTGTGCCATTCTGAAACAGAAAATGACATTCCTAAGGTATCCAACATCTCATGCAATGCCCAATATCTCATTCCAAAGCCAAGGGTAATAATACATAGTCGACCCTTGCTTTGCTTCTGCAGCAGCCCCTAATCTGGTGGGAAGTATTCTACTAGATGTTGTATAGTGTATGTAACCCCTAATAATGACCTCTTATTTGCTCCATTTTGGTCTGTTAAAGGAGAATTATGAGGCGAGTGATTTTCACTCAGCCTTATAATCTGAGCCGACCTGTGACAATGAAACTGTGACAGGTCGGCAAAGTAGATCGGGAAATGAGCGAACACATACCGGCGCTCGCTCACTTCTCGATCTATCCGTGCAGAGAGCCGTGACTGTCACTCACGGATCCCTGCAGGGATCCCCCACCCCCTGTCCGATTCTACAGCGCTGACTGACGGAATGGATGGGAGAGGGGTCGGGAACAGCTGGCTCTGCCTCTAGATAGGCAGATCCAGGCGTCACTCACGCAGCTGGGTGGATCCAGACAGAATTGTCTGGATCCGTTCCCGGCTGCGGCGTCTCAGTATACCGCAAGCTGTAGCTCGCGGTATAATGAGCTTTGGGTGACGGGAGGATGCTAGTTTGTGTCCTCCTGTTACCCTTAGGAGAACTATGTGGAAAAGCCCTAACCCCATAGTTCTCCTCTAAATATACCCTTGGAAGTGTTATGTTATAGCTGTTTAATAAGTGCAAAAAAAACTGTTCTTCAGCCAGAATAATGTGAGCTCCTAACTTCCTGTGCTCTCTAACTACTTTTATTACGTAGCCTTGTTCCCAGTTCTATCTGTGGACCACAGAACACCTCCCCTTCACAGGAAGAACACCTCTCTCTCACCTCTTCTCCATAACATAGGGCGAGGTGTTCTCTAGACCTCAAACACTTCCTGCATTAGGTCACAATGCTGCTCCTTAACAGTTACATTGAGTGAACGTGGTCACCCTAGGACAGGAGGTATGTTACTGGCAGGATGACCAGGTTAAAAGTAAAAAAGCCTAAAAACATGAAAAATAATGCAGCCACCGTATTTAAGGATTGTCAAACTGCAATATATCAAATGTTTGTTCTTGGGTTTACATACCCTTTAGGCTGGGTTCACACCTAGGCGTATTGAATATGCCCGTCTGTCGCGTGTTTTTTTTACCGCGATTCGCAGTAAAAAAAACGCGCGACAAACGCGCGTTTCCGAGGGCTACTTGGCTGTATCCCAATGGAAACGCCCAACAAAAACGGCCCAAAGAAGTACATGTACTTGTTTGAGCGTAGGCCGTTTTGTAGGGCGTTTCAGATGGGCGGAAATACGGAAAGGTGTGAACCAGACCCATAGAAAACAATGGGATTTTCATGTTTGTACATTTTGTAGAGCGTTCATAGAGCCTTGAACGCGCGACAAAACGTAAAGGTGTGAACAAGGCCTTATTGTTTTTACTAGAACTAATGTCTATACAACCAATACACCATTACTACAGCCCATATCCTTGCCTATGCTTTCACCTGGACATTGCATGGCTTCACGAAGCACCCGTTCAGTGGTCTTGTCCTACCACACTGGCCTTATATGACACTAATTAGGCCCTTGTAATCATTCTTTTATAGAGAATTTTATATTATAACCCCTATGTGGTCTGATCATCTAAAATTCCGACTTCAGTCACAGGTCAGAAGGAACCAGCCATTGAGAAACTGCAACTGGAGTTTACTGCTGGACCCAAAGCTGCCTCTAAGATAATTGCCCTGACTGATCTGCAAGAGAAAGAGGGAGAACACATGGAAGAAGCTGAAGTCCTGGCAAAGTTGAAGACCATCCTTGGCATTGATAATAAGTTGAAGGTAAGACTACTGGGTTTATTCAGTAAGGTAATGCGATTGTAAGCTGTGTTAGGTGGGGAACTCTTCATGTCACTAGATGGGCAAGCCCCATTCAAGCTAAATCATTTCCATTGTACTTGAAGCTTTCTTTCGAGAAATGGTAATGCCAGTTTTTACCATTTTCCCTGTTATTGTGGCCTCATAGCAGACTTCTCATGTAAACAGCAGGCTACACCCATCACTGATATCACAAATGGACTTCCTTCTCTCTTCTTTTACACATTTGGCTCAGGGCCTCGCCTTCCATTGTACCGTGCCAATGCTTGTACTGTAGGCTTGACTAGCAGTGCCATTTAAAAGAGGAGTGGACAGTATGGCAATAGGAAAAGTCTTGGTAACTTTTAATGTAGCACCTGGTTTGTAAGGAAAACTGGGAACTGTATACATGATATAATTCACAAATATAAATGACCTTACAAGCCATAGAACATAACATATGGGCCCTAGAGTAACGGCCATTGCAGTCAGTAATGAAAGTGTGACACTTGGGTATCCATATTAATGCCATAATAAAACCTGAGCACCCAATATAATGCCACACTGAAAATTAGGTACACCAAAAAAAAGGTACCCTAAGACTTGGGTACCCATTACAATGCCATACTGAAACATGGGGTCCCTAATTAATGTCCCAATGAAACTTGAGTACCTAGATTAGGGTGTGCATGCACTCTATTCTGTAATCTGGGTATCCAGATTAATGCCATATTGAAACCTGAGCACCTAGTATAATGTCACACTGAAACCTGGGCACCCAAAAAATGCTACCCTAAGGGTTGGGTACCCATTGCAATGCCCCACTGAAATTTGGGGTCCCTAAATAATGCCACACTGAAACCAGAGCGCCTAGAATAGGGTGTGCATGCAATATAATGCCACACTGAACCCTGGACAGCCAGAATAATGCAACATTGAAACCTAAGCACCCATTGTAAGACCTCTAAAATTTAAGCACCTAATATAATGACACACTAAAAGCTGGATGCTCAGAATAATGTCACGCTGAAATTTGAGCACCCAAAATAATATACCAATAATATTGGGGTCCCTGAATAATGCCTCTGAAACTTGGGGGTCCCTCAATAAGGCTTCTGGAACTTGGGGTCCCTCAATATTGCTTCTAAAACTTGTGGTTTCTAAAAAATGCCACAGTGAAACATAGGGTCCCTGAGTAATATCACACACAAACACATGGTCACCAGGATATTAACACATTGATCCCTGGGCTCTCAGATTAAAGATGGTCCTCCCCCTTCAACTGGTTGCACAAGTACATTGATCTGGTGCTCTTAGATACTATTTGACATCTAGGATATTTTGGAAATCTCTACATGTCTTTGTTGTCACATTTCAGGCAACAAATACAAGCTTGAAACAAATTAAAAGCAAACATCATCATCAAAAAAATAAAGACATTGTTGAAGCAAAGAGAACAAATAAACAGTCCAGCAGCAGCAGCAGCAGCAGCAGCAGCTCCTCTGGCTCCAGTTCTTCTTCCTCAAGCAATGCTCAAAATTCCAAGCAACATCAGCAAAAACAGAACAGACAGCACTCATCGGGAACGCAGCATCAAGACCAACATCGTAACCCTCAAAAAAGCAGTAGCAGCAGCAGCAGTAGCAGCAGCAGCAGTGCCGGCAAGAGCAGCAGCAGTAGCAGCAGCAGTGGTCATCATAAAGGACACAAACATGGCAAGAAGAGCAACAGCCACAGCAGTAGTAGCGGCAGCAATAGCAGTAGCAGTAGCAGTAGCTCCAGCCAAAGCAGCAGCAGCAGCAGGAATTCCCGCCAACAACACAACAAGCAGCAGAACTCTCAGCAGCAAAACAAGCAGTCAAAACAGAGGTCACGCCACTCCAACTTGGCCAACAATGCTGACAATGAAGAGGTATAGTATTATTAGAATCATAGTTTTTTTTAAATTCATGACCTTTTCTATCATTTAATGCCTGGTACCCCAATAGCACATACTCACCTTCTGTTTGCTCCCCCTGCCACTCCGCTTAGCTGTCAGGAGCAAGAAACTGAGTAGGGGCCACCTAGGAATGAGCAAGCATGGGACTCACTACCTTTCATCCCATGTAACAGTGCTGGTGCTTGAAATTGGGTGCTCAGGCCCAATGCTGCCTCATGGGGGAGAGGAGAGCATCCTCAGTAAAATGCAAGGTCCCCTTATAATGTCTGAGGCACCTCCTACTGTAAATATTACTAGCTATAGTATGTTCAAAAATGTACCTTTTTCTGCTTACCGTCTTTGCTATTGCTGGTAGTGACATTGTCAGCTTCCAGGAAGATCCCTTAGGGAATGCAGAGCAGGTCAAATCTCCTGAGAAGACACTCAAGTCCATTGCAATAATGTCTTCTGGTGAGATTCGGGGTGCTCTGTATTCCTCAGGATTCTTATGGAAGGAGCGTGACATCACACTCCCCTAGGGACTCCCTAGACAGCAGTAAGGTGAGTATTAACTCTAACGATTTTTATTTGCATACTATAGCCAGTGATTTTTACAGAGGAAGGGGACACAGACATTATAAGTGGACCTTGCTTGCATTTTACTGCAAGGTCTACTTTAGCCTCTGACTAGAGTGGCATACAGATAACACAAGACTTCCTCTCCTCACTACACTGAGCTGTGTAGGAGCAAAAGGAAGATAAGTATGTACTCCCTTGGAGCTGGCAATAAAGTTAACCTGTTGCTTTGTCCTGCATTGCCAAAACACAGGTTCATTCTCATTGCTATTACTGAATTAGTGACTGAATGCATGAACAATAACATTATAGCAACAAATTCCCGATTTTGTATATCATGTAAAGATACATGATATGTAAATGATAATACTGAGAAATAGGAACAATGATTTTAAATAAAAGATACCTTTTATGGCTACGTTATTATTGGCAAATGTTTAAATGTAATGTTTTTGGTTTTTTTCAAAGGTGGAACTTTATCAGCTGCGCTTTAGAAGACCTCGTGGAGAGGTAAGGATCCATATTTTATTTTATTATATTCAATTGTAAGTAGGTAAAAATCTACTCAGGGTAGTTGAGTGGTTAGCACTCTTGCCTTACAGTGCTAGGTTACTTGAAGATGGTTTTCTCCCACCTACTGAAATAAATGACCCTCATCTGGATTTCCTGTTCTGCCATGATCAATGACAAAACTGGGTTGAAAAAGTAGGATAGTAGGGTGCGCAGCCAGCCAGAGAAGGACATAACATCTGCGCAGGCCGTGCAGCTGCTCACGGCCCTTTGGGACTTAGGAGCCCATCAATACAAGATGTGGGTTAGATGTATGCTAGTTATATGAATAGAAAACTGGTACTCCAATTACAGATATGATGCATCTTTATTGACGAGAATGCAACATGTCACACAAGTGCAGAGGTCCATATACCCATTGCACTCCTGCCCGTCTAATCCAAGAATGAGCAGGTGGGTGCAGCGGTGGTCAACGGATGGCACTGTCTCATGCACATGATGTATGCTAGGACCCCTCCCACTGTCATGACACCTGGACAAGGCTTTTACTTGGCTGGTAGTTAAAAAGGGGGACCAAAAATTGGTCTCAGGCAGGGTCCTCTGGTAACTCTGCCACTGGAGGCAACAGGAAACAGTATGAAACTGATCAAAACCATTTTGCAATGAAGTTTAGTATTGTGGGTTTTATTGATTTAGAGTTTGTGTGTGTTTTTGGACTATAGATGACTATAATTATATCCACAAGCTCCAATGCCATTCAGTTCAGATATATTCAGAACTTGTTTCTTATAGCCTAGGTAACAATATCCAGTTCTAGGTGGAATTTCCCACAATTCCATGTTCTTAGAATTGGCTCAAAAGCTATCAAAGCTTGTATAGAGCTTGAGGTTAAGTCTTAGGTATCCCCAGGAACATTTCTGAATTTGGAGTTTCATCTTTGGTGAAAGGCCTGTAAAGGCGTTTCATGTGCAAAAGAATGCCCGGGGACATGCCTATTACTGCAATCGCAATGATAATGTGATAATATTACACGGATCATGCCACTAGCATTCCTTTTGGGCAAATTACATGGCATGATCTACCTCAATATTGACTTAATAAAATCAGATATGGATCTGAAAAAAAAAAAATGTTTATAGGAACACAAGAACAATCTTGGAATTTTTATATAGTTGAGCTGTTGGGCAACTATAACTTTGATCAACAATACTGGAGTTTTTTTTGTACCGCACATTATCTTTTTATGTTATGCAATGATGTATCATAATGGCACGACATTCTCCAAATCAGATTATAAGGACAGCATCCGGTCAAGCTCATTCCAGCAGCAGCAGTAGCAGCAGCAGTAGCAGCAGCAGTAGCAGCAGCAGTGCATCTTCCAGAAGACATCAGCCTCATGTAAGTAGGCAAATCTATTACTTCCGACTAGGACTGTTAATATGGCAGCCATAATACACTTCTCTTCAATTACACTTCAATTGCTGATGTCGTTAAGCATGTTTGAGATAGCCTGGTCCCCTGTGTGTTGTTCTGCTTTAATAAATACTCTTTATAGGGCATAGCAAAACTTTCTGCAGGTTACTCAGTACTGTACAGAGGTGTCAGTGTCCAAATTTTAGCAATATATATCAAGTCAACTTTGGTTATGGCTATAAATTTCAGTCTAGACTTTTGTTGGCCTTTTTTTGGTCTCAATCAGGCCTTGCTACACACAGCATGTTAGTATAGCTCCCAAATGTCCTTCATTTGTAACCGTCAGAGCCGTAGCTAGTTCCTTTTACGCCCGAGGCAAGGACAGAAAATTGTGCCCCCCAACAGACGTGTTATGTCACCCGCCTATGTTGCCAACGGTGCCCTGTGCTCGCCATGGCAACAGGGGCAAGGGAGCGCAGCCAGGTCAGCCCTGACTACACCCCCCTCTCAGCTGTGCCTGAGGCGAGTGATTCACTCGCCCCATGGTAGCTACAGCCCTTGTAACTGTATCCCTCTTTCCTCCTCAGATGACCCTATTTTTTGGTTGGATAGACCTCTATAAAATGTAGCATGCCAAACTACCAAAGGGGTTTTAGAACACTATACCTTTCATTCTTTCATACCTTTTTGCATATTAATTCTTTGTGGTCCACTTAACAGGAGTGTAGTAGGAGTGAGTTCTTTGTCTGTAAACTTTGAGCTAAAAAGTGTCCCTCTTTTTCGTCTCAGAAATTTGGGAGATTTGTGATAGATACGTACTAAAACATTGTAGAAATCTACAGACTAAAATATAGATGTGACATAAAAACAGAACATGTACATAATATCATGCCTCTTCTTCATTTTCAGGCCAGGTTCCTTGGAGAACACAAGACTCCCAGCTGGGTTGTCACCGCTCAGGCAGTCAGATCTGACAACAAGAAGCAAGGATATCAAATAATTATGTTCAATGACTATCACTCATCCAAGCCCAAGATGCAGGCCTACGTGGTGGACATCACTAAAGAGAGCCGCTGGAAAGCTTGTATCAATGCAGAGGTTGAAAACCAACATCAAGTCCAGGTAAAGATCCAATATAATTAGAATTTATAATAGGTTTGTGAGATCATAACAGGATTGGCCTTTCAAAGCTCATGATTGTCACAAATTGTCAATGACTCACATATTTTTATGATTTTACATTTCTGTACTTGCACTCATACATCGCATGACCTTAAACATTCCACTTTTTTTAAGTGCTCTATGCTGGCATAGCTGGGTAACAGCCAAAACTACATCACTGGTGTCCTCCCTCAAACAAGGCATGGTTTATGCCTGACCAGGTCTCTTACCAAGTGTCAATTACTGGGAGCACTTGGTCTAAATAGGTCTACCTCTGGTGCCTACTGGACCACACAGCCATAGAATGATTCCTTGCAGTGAGAGGAAAGTGGAGACTACGAAAAAGCAGCCAGAGAGGTCAGGAATTGCTTCTTACTGCTTGTTAAGAATATGTAAATAGTTTAATGTCTATAGTCAGGGCACAGGTGCACTTAACTGTTAGATGTTTGTCATAGAGAACTCATGGAAGACCTGTGAGGACCACCTTGGTGGGCCTGTACTGCCTCCCGTAGGCTTTTGCACACCATAATGAACATTGCACACCAAACTGATACACTGCAACACTGATACAGCTTGCAGCATACAAAAAAACATACAATTATTGATGTAGACAAACTGATTTTAATTCTGTTCATCTCTCTGTGGTTCAGGCTGAGGTGAAATGGGGTCAGAACTGCCAGCAATACAAGGTTGTCTTCATGGCTGAGACTGGACGTTTTGGCACCCAGCCTGCATTGAGACTGAAGGTTAACTGGCCAAGAATCCCATCCAAACTAAAATCCATCGGACAAGTGTAAGATTGTGTTACATCATATTTTTGGCTATAATCCTAATATATGATACTTGATATTATATTATTAATATTCTACAGCACTAAATATATAGATATATCTATATATACTGTGGCATTGTGAGGCAATACCACAATATATATAGATATATCTATATATATATGCTATATAATAACTTTTGCTATTCCAGAACATCAAGATTCATCCCCGGAGCTGCCTACATGCTAGGATTCTCCCAAAAATTCCAGAGAAACCCATCCAGACAAGCCAAATTCGTCTTTTCTCTCATCAACCCCAGAACCATGAATGTTGTGATGAAGGTACCACAGGTAAGAACCCCTTTCACATACCAGCTTACATTGCCACAGTCTTGTGGAGGTCACATTTGTTATAGACTCTAACAAAAGTGAAAAATGTATCAATCACAGCAACCAATCAGTTCCATTGATTGTGAATTGTGGTTGGGGTGTGTAACACATAAAGTCTCCTTTAACTGTAATCCATTACATATGTAGCAAAAAAACAAGTAATTAATTGAACTTGTTAAAGTGTATGTGGGCAAAAACATTTTTCTAGTTTTGGACAGAGTGTGGAAAAAGAGTGTGGTACAGGGACGTAACCACAGATCATGGGGCCCCATAGCAAAATTTTGATGAGGTCCCCCAGCAACCTCCCTACTGTCAATGATAATATCAATCCTTCATGGGGCCCCCTTCCACCCCCAGGCCCCATAGCAGCCGCAAGGGCCGCTATGGCTATTGTCACGCCACTGGTGTGGTATAGTGTGGTACAGACAGTGGATTAGAACTTCTGTTGGGTCTTTAGACCTGTCTGGAGCTTCGGTAGAGAGTTTGACCCTTACTTCTTGTCCTGCTGACAATGCTAGAAGTAGCACGCTAGTGTGCACTTTCCTGTGCTCTCACCCTCCTGTAGCGCCTCTGCCTCCAGTCCCCAATTAAGATAACAACACTGTGCAATGGATTCTGATTGGCAGGCACAGCTTGCTTTTTGATGTTCATGGGATAATGTGCTGTAATGTAAATTTTCAGGTGATTATATTAGCAGCATGAAAAAAAAAATATATTGAATACATTTGAAAGAATAACTGGTCTTAAGGCTTTTTTAAATGCATTAAATTTTAATTAATATTTCTTGTTACCTCTAATCCAGGTCACTCTGTATTATGAAGCCGCCAACTTGCCTGTCCCCATCACCGCCCCCTGGAAGGCACGAGCTGCTGACATCCATGTTCCAACCTGGAACGTGTTCGCTGATATCCACAACACCATAGCAGACAGGCTTCAAGGTCAGGAAAGGGTTCTCATGTGACCAATTTTACACATGTCTCTTACTTGCATGACATTTTAATTGTGGCTTAGCCCTATTCATAGACTGATGTATTATATAGTGAACCTGAGGATAAACAAAAAAAAAGTGGCACCACAATGCCTACTTATATTGTATATTTCATATGTATACGGATGTAATAACAATATCAATAATTTCTGCTGGAAGGATGTTAAAGAAACTTGTCTTAAGGAAAATACATTGCCCTGAATTCCAAAGCAATGGCTCTTGTCAATGCATCCCACAGTGACTGACTGCAAAGGGCCTGTGCCACCTTTCTCCCTTCCCGACCTGATGCTCGTCTTGCCAGCACTCCCCTGTTGCTCCTTTTTCTATTGCAGCCGGCACTAAAATCCTTATAACTTATAGGGGCAGCGGTGACATTACTCTCTTGCTCCTGTGACAGCGCTAGTCCCTAGTGATTGGCTGCTAGACACGATTACACGGGAGGAGATCACATGTTACCTCATACCTGGAAGTGCCGGGTATTGCCACCAGCTGTACCGTAGGCAGGAGCAGCTAGGGAGCGCTGGCAAGGTGAGTATAAGTGGATCAGTGGGGCCCCTTTAATTTGACTTGCATGGGAAAGGGGACAGGAACTCCTTAAGGTGTTCTCAATGGCATGTCAGGAATTCTAAAATGACATATGATCATTCTGATTGATAGGCCACTTTAGCACGTCTCAACCACATTTTAAAGTTCCTTAAGTGTTACTTAAAGTGCAATTCCACTTTTGCAGTGACATTTGAGAAATAGATCTCTATGGTTGCTATGTGTTCCCATTTACACATCATACAGATAAAATAATTTTCTAAAAAATATGTCTTATTTTTTTTAGATGTTTTGTTGCAGCAGGCAACATGGCTGATTCCAGTTTTTTTTTTCTGAGCACCTTCACAGTGATCTGTCCTTATAGAAAACTTATATTCTAATGAACTTCATTAATGTTAATGAAGGATCCAGGGTTGTAATCCTTTAATAGGACAGGCAGTGTCCCAAATTATAATAAAAAGAGCCAGCACAATACAAATAGGGTTAAAAATGCCCTCCTAACATTACAAAGAAGGAGGAGCAAATGGAAAGTTTAACCCTTAAGAAGCCAAGAAAGCCTAACCCAAATAAAAGTCATTTAAACTGCAAGAAACATTTTTAAAGCATTTTTTTTTAGCTTATGTGATGTCATTGTGAACATGTAGCCAATATAAAATAGGTGTTATCCCAATTTGGTTACACTTTAAAGCTTGATCAATCAGAGCCATAGGCCTGGCTATCATGCCAATCATTTTCTTTTTTTTGCCTAACCCAGAAGAAGTATGCAGATGAAGGGTACTGCCTGCACCAATGTGTTCTGGGTCATCAGAATGAAGCTACTGGATCAGCAAAGCAGCCAGACAGCAATAGAGAATGCTATATGGGCAATTTAGATACGAACAGTGCTTAAAGGAGAACTATGGGGTCGGTGTTTTTCCCCATAGTTCCCCTTAGGGTAACGGGAGGACACAAACTAGCGTCCTCCCGTTAACCTAAGCTCAGTATACCGTGAGCTACAGCTCGCGGTATACTGAGACGCCGGAGCGGATCACGACTTAGATGACGGGATCCGCCCAGCTGCGTGAGTGACAGCTGGCTCTGCCTATCTAGAGGCAGAGCCAGCTGTACCCGCCCCGTCCGTTCCGCCAGTCAGTGCTGGCAGATCGGAGAGGGGAATACAGCCCTCCCCCTGTCACGGCAGAGAGCCGTGACAGGATCGGGAGGTGAGCGAACCCGGTATGTGTTCGCTCACCTCACGATCTACTGAGCCGACCTGTGACAGTCTCATTGTCACAGGTCAGCTAGAACTATGAGGTGAGTGGAAATCACTCATCTCATAGTTCTCCTTTAACTGAGTTCCTTCCTAAATATTAAAAAGCTTTTCTCCACTCTTCCCATTTGCGACAATGCTTTGTTGAGGCATGCGCTCATTACTTTTCTCTGCTGAAACTCTAGGACGTTGCTTAATATCCAACAACATGGTGACCACCTTAAATGATGTTAGCTACCAATACACAATGCCTGGAAGCTGCTCTCATATCCTCGCTCAGGACTGCACCGATGAATACAAATTCCTGGTGAAGGCCAAGAACTCCATTGAGAATGCAGAACACAAAGACATCAATGTGCAACTTGGAGATTTGTAAGTGTATCAGTGATCTGCAAAGTGGTTATTATATAATGTAACACAATATAATATAATAATGTAATAATAATATTATAATAATAATAATATAATAATGTAATAATAATATAATAATGTAACAAAATAATGTAATGAACACAATAAACATAAGGATAAGGAAATCTTTCCAAATGCAGCGGTAGCTCTTGCCATAGTGTGCAAGTGTACATAGCATACTTATTTATATCTGTACAGAAGATTACATTATATTAAATAGAAACATATTTGCAGTAGTAGAGTATTGAACCTTGTTAGCCATCGATTGGTGCAGAAAGGTTGGAGTTTAAGTGTTACCCAAAATTGACTAACATAAAACATTTTCGGGATTGCTTGAAACCTTTCTTCATTTATGTCTGTGAAGGTTCTCATTCATCTGGGTCATTGTATATCTGTAAAAAATAAGTCAAGGCAACTGGACTTGCTGTATTTTTTTCCTTGAAGACGTTTCACTGGTCATCCGACCAGCTTTCTCAATTCAGAAGGACTTGTACAAAAAATGTATTCCCAGACAATGATGGTTGGATGACCAGTGAAACGTCTTCAAGGAAAAAAAGACAGCAAGTCCAGTTGCCTCGACTTATTTTTTACAGATATACTTTCTTCATTTAATGTATAAAGCCCAATAAAGGATCTAAGAAATCCTGGAAGCTTGCATCTTTAATAACTTAAAGTGACCTTTAAGGTATTTCAAATGCTTATTAAATCACTTACATACAGTATGATTTTGCTCCTTGATGTTTAAAAGTTTTAATGTCTTGCAGAATATTCAGCTGGTCCCCTGAGCACTGGGCCTGATATCCTGTTTTAGGATGGCTCCTTTCCCTTACAGTGTCCTATGCAGCCACCCTTCTGTGTGCTAGTAAGCGTGTGTGTCCACAAACACAGAGACACAGTAAGGCAAGCCTCTCCCCTCCTCTCTCCTCCCTTCTCCAAGCTAGTAGATGGGTGGCTGCTGGAGATTGTGTTCTGTCCCTTGGGATCTAGTAGTCAACAGGAAGTTCAGGGAAGCCGAACTTAGGGAGTTGGAGCTGTCCCGAAACATGACTATAAGTGAATGGGCAAAAATGTAAAGAGATACTTTGCTGGGCAATGTATATTTGTTTGATCTGAAATCATTATTGAAAAAAAAAGCTTGAGAGATTCATACTACCGGTACTTATACTACTTCACATTTTAATGTTACTCCTGCAGTTATATTATGATGATGAGCTATAGCTTTAGTATATTTCATGATCACTTGGTAACCTCGTGTTGTTTCATGGCTTCCTTCTCTCTTCTTACTTAGCAACATTGATCTATACTCAAATTCCGGAATTTCCACGGTCAAGGTTAACGGCATTGTAATTTCCAAACTGCCTTATGAGCCAAGTCAAGGTAAGCAAGTTTCTATGCAGCTGCCCATTAGCTTAATTGATTTTTAATCGTGAGCTGGCAACGTACATTAGCTGTTGAGAAAATAGGTACATGATCATCTAAGCTAGTGATTCCTAAACTTTTTCTTTATTTGCATACCCCTTGGCAGTCCATTTGTATAAACTGTACCCCTCAATGGGGGGTGGCGCAGTAGGCAGGGCTAATAGTGAAGCATGTAGAGTACTGTACTGCTAGGTAGGTGTGGACATATTGCTCAAACAGTAGGAGGGACTCCAATGCCACAGTGTCAGTGGGATGAAGGAGGGAGCTGGGAGGCTGGGATTGGGGGACTCTATGGGGTATGCCATATTGCAGTTGTGTGTCATGTGCTATCTCGGGGTCTCTTTGGGGTGGGGTCCGTGACACTGGATTCCCTGGATCTAGGGCCCCTTGCACTTTCCTATGGTATAGCAAATCTTTATGAACTCAGTTCCACTTTAAGGTTATAGGATCGGGAGGCTTTAGGGAAGGGCAAAACTTCTAGCCCCAATTCCCCAGTGCTGACAGTAAAAGTTACACCAATAGTCTGCATAGGAAAGCTCTTCACCACATGGAATACACCTTGAATTACTTTTAAATGGCTCTAGATGCCATACACAAGCTGTCAACTAGCAAGTAAAACAGTAATAATAGAGGTATCACATCGTTTCAACCTAATACACTCTATATACTGAAATTCCAGATCTGAAGATGGAGGAAGAAGACGGAAAGATTACACTATCAGCACCAGAATTCGGTATTGAGAAGCTGTACTATAATGGAAAGTCCATTGAGGTAATTATAAAAGTAAAATAAGAAAAACAAATCAGCAATAGACATTAAGGGTTGCACATAGGAACTGGTGAAATGTTTTCATTTTGTAACCTCTACTAGAAAAGTAATTGCTGTAACCTGACATGAGTGATATGATAGTGATATGTGATATGACTGACACAGGTTCTTTGATCTGCACTATTACATGTTAATGACCACAGAGCTGTATTAATATGTGTCTTTTATATATACATGGAGTTCTGTTTTAATTAGAAAAGGAGAAGCATGAGCAATGTGTGATGATAATAGAGATAACGACATGATGTTGTGTGTACAGGTTCTACCTACCTCCTTTATGAGAGGCAAGATGTGCGGTCTCTGTGGTCGCTATGATGACGAGACAGAGCAAGAATTCAAGAGGCCCGACGGATCCGCAGCAAAGGATGCTGACAGCTTTGGCCATTCTTGGCTCTTGGCAGAAGAAGCCTGCTCAGGAAGTAAGTAGACTACAGACTTGTACAGTAGAACCATGCATATCGCCCCCTCCATCATAGGCTCACCATCTAATAACACTACAACAAGAGTACTAATGCTATATGATAGAGGAGCAATGATATCAAAGCAACAGAATCAAGGTCTAATCCCTAAAAGTAATATAACATTTAGTGCCCCCCGGGTGTCCCTAGCATTATCGCAGCCTGAGTCAGGGAAGTGCTGGTGGTCATGTTTGGGGGAGTTGGTTGATGGGGTGCTGGTGGCACACCAATGGCACTCTGGCTGGCATCCTAGTGGTGTATCACCCAGCTCTCTGACATCACTGGTCACCAGCTGAGCCAACTGCCTGCCAGAGCATCTCAGGTTGCTAAGAGGTGGGAGGGGAGATGTATATGGCCCTTACACATCTCACCCCCCATCTGTTAGCAGCCTGGAACGTTCGGGCAAGAATGAGGGATTGAAGGCCACTTGACCCAAAGAGATGTTACCTGAGGCAACAGAGTTCACCATATAGAAAATGTAAATGGAGTTCAGCTGTACACCACTGAGAGCAGCAGAGAAGAAGCTAGAAGGCTGCATGTGGCCCATAAAATACCACTTTGACAAGCCTGGATTAGAGCAAGATGTAATTTTCCAGCTGCCATGAATACTTATGTAGCTTGTGTCTTTCTTTGTAGCTTGCAAACTTGATCGCTCTTTGGTGAGGACTGAAAAACCAGAACATGAGGATTCCAAGTGCTATTCTATCCACCCAGTTCTGCGTTGTGCCGAGGGCTGTACCGCAACCTCCACCACCCCCGTCTCTGTTAGCCTGCACTGCCGCTCAACCGGTGAGTCCCAGCAATAATGGTCTTCCAGTTTTTTGGGCCGTACCATTATCCAACCTAATAATTTACTAGGGCTCGGTCAATATTGTGTTTGAAAAGGATAGTGGCCTTTGTTACTGTCATTCCTTGATTTTGTACAGAATGACTGCGTGCCTGTCATCCATATTTACTATTCCTAAACAAACTCAAAGGTTCTTTCTGGGTGTTGTTCTTTTGGTGTCCTCCAATGATGACCCTACACAGGTCTTACCAAAGCTGGAAGCTATAGTCCAATAGCTCAGGTAGCACCTCTAGGGGTGGCAGGAGAATAGGATTTCCCTTTGTTTTCTTACTTAACAGTGCACCCTCTTCTACAAACAGACCCTGCATTTCGCTGCCCTGAGGTGGTCCATTGCATATTGCAAGGGCTTCCTAGCAAGCTGGAGACAAAATACATTTGAGCATCAACATGACCATATCAAGGCCCAACCCTGACCATGGGATGCAAATCCTTTCAAATAATGTGACACAAACAAACCAACGTACTGCATGAGTCATATGGTCCTTCAGTAGAAGAGTAATAAGGAATTACAGAGGAGGATCAGAGGACTGATAATGGGAGTGAACATAGCTATGAATTCCATAGAAATGATCTGCAGACAGCAGATCTCCAGATCAGTGACCTACAGTATTGTAAACAGAGACCAAGCTTAACAGCCTGCCAAGTAGTCTTTTCAGAAGAGGTCAAATGTATCTCCAAGATGGCCGTGTATTGGAGTGCTGCAAGTCCATGTTTTTTCTTTTTTTTTTATGACTGATTCCTTTATCTTTTCTCCCACAGAACTGGAAGAAGGCCGGGACCTGGCTGACATGCCTGAAGATGCCACAGAGACCTTAGACGCTCATACAGCTTGCTCCTTGAATGCCTAAAGTGCGCCAACCTAATTCCACGGCTGTTGTCACTGGCCGACCCAGACTTTACCTAGAAACTCAAATACGAGCTGTAATGTCAGCCCCAATCAACCCAATCGCACTTTCTAACCACATGTATAGTTCTCCATTCTAACCCCTGAAATTTTCAATAAATATTTGCATCCACAAAACATGAAATGTCTGTCATTCTTCTAAAATAAGACTGTGAAGGTTCTCATTCATCCATGGTACATCTATAACAAATAAATCAAGGCAACTGGACTTGCTATATTATTCTTGAAGATGTTTCGTTGGTCATCTGTATAGCTTTCTCAAGTCAGAATTGGGAAAGCTAGTCGGATGACCAGTAAAACGTCTTCTAGAAAAATACAGGAAGTCCAGATGTCTTAATTTATTTTTTACGGATCTTCTAAAATATATTTTTAAGGTCATGGAAACCTGAATACAATTTAGGTCACTTGCTGTATAAGAAAAAACAATTACATTTGTAGAGGTAAATGATAATATTTTGCTGCCTACCAGAATTGAAGATAACTGAGATAAGACTGTGATTGTGGGGACAGAGAAGTTTTTTCCTTCACATCTTTGATTTCCTGTCCAGTGTTCCTGTTGATAAGATCTACAGGCGGCGTTTGGTGTGTTTTAAAGTAGAGCCAGACAAAAAATGTTCCTTTGAAAGTTTTGAGTAGAGTGGAGAAGCATTAGATCAGTTGTCTCTAAATTGTGGTCTGTGGGCTGGAATGGCCCTTTGCTTGCATTAAACTGGCCCGTGGGGCACTATTCCTCCAAATTACACCACTGATGGGAGACTATTTCTTCCACTGGCACCAATAATGGGGCACTATTCCTTCCAATGACACTGCTGATGGGGCACTATCTCTCTCACCGACACCAGTGATGACGGGGCATTATTCCTCCCAGTGACACCACTGATGGGACACTTTTCCTTCCAATGATGAGGTGATGAGGCACTATTCCTTTCACTGACACCACTGATGGGGCACTATTCCTCACACTGGCACCATTAATGGGGCACTATTCCTCCCACTGACACCATTAATAGGGCACTATTCGTCTCAATGACACCACTGATAGGTTACTATTCATCTCTATAGGAAACAAATGATGGATCACTATTCCTTTCACCGACACCACTGATGGGGCACTATTCCTCCCAATGACACCAATGCAGACATCCCAACCTGCAAAAGCTTATTTCAGGGAGGTTCCCGTCTCATTTCAGGGAGGTGCCCTTTCTGTTTTTATTTTTTACAGCGGCCGTCGCCAGAATATAAAAGAAATAATAATGATAATATATATATATTATAGATAAAATCTGATGGGGCACTATACCTCCCACTGACACCTCTGATGGGGCACTATACCTCCCACTGACACCAATGATGGGGCACTAATCCTCCCAATGACACCACTGATGGGGCACTATTCCTCCCAATGACACCACTGATGGGGCACTATACCTCCCACTGACACCAATGATGGGGCACTAATCCTACCACAAACACTATCGATAGGGTACTTTTCCCGCCCAAATACCAATGTTGGGCACTGTTCTTCGCACTGACACAAACAATGGGTCAGATTTACCCCCTCTGATACCAACGATGGGGCTCTATTCCTACCACTGACACTAATGATGGGGCACTATTCTTCCCACTGACATCAACGATGGGTCATTGTTACCCACACTAATACCAACAATGGGCACCATTCCTTCCACTGACACTGTCGTATTTTTTCTTCTCCCACTGACAACTGGTGATAAGTATTTTTTTTACTCCCTCTGACCATCGAGCCTGGGGCATTGTTAACTCCCACTAACTGCTGACATTGGGGCATTATTTACACCCACAGTTCCGTGTGAATGGAGGCAAAAACAAATGTTCTTTGCATATTTTCAAGTCAAATGTAAAACTGGAAAGATGATGGCAACTAGATGGAGCTGAGGAGTATAGGAATGAGATACTTATTTCCAATGCTTCTCAGCTCAGCGCCATTTAGTGGTCATAATAATGCATTATGACCACTATGCTCCTCCGCTCCATCTAGCAGCCATAATAGAATATTTTTCTAATGTTACATTCAAATGGAAAAGAAAATATACGAAGAACGTTCGTTTTTGCCTCTATTTTCACAGAACCGACATTCACAGAGTTTCGCAGGGTGAATGGCTCTGTGAATTGTTTATAAATAGAACCCATAAATAGAACCCATAACATGTATTTCCACTTTGAGAGCCCACACCATAGTTCTATGTCTTCCCATTTCACACAACATACCTAAAAATATATTTCTGACCATTCTAGTTCCTTCTTTGCATCAGGCTCCTACATGAGAATCTATGGGCAGCATAAAGTTGTTCAGAATAGCTTGCAATGTCCACTTAGGGGAGACATGTAGGAACCTTTTTTTTTAAATGCATTGGCATACAATGTAACACCCAAGCCTTGAGATCTTTAACCCTTTGTTAGGACAGTGTTGACATCTAAATTACAAATGATAATGAAATCTGCCAGCACGGACAGGGTTAATTATGGTACACATCAACTCCCCAGCCCCCTCCTTGATATTCCATAGAAGGGGAAAGCTAAAAGGCAAGCAGCATTTTTTTAGGTTCTTCTATGTGAATGGGGACATGTAAGAAATATAAAGTAGGTGTTATCCCAATTTGGCTGCAACACAAGGAACTGGTATTTTCAGGTGAGAGGTCAGTAAGCCAAGACTATTTCTCTCATGGGGGTGAGAAAAGGAATAAAAGAGCCGCAAGTTCTCTATTTACGAATACAATGTAACAATATAACTTTTAATTAGCACACTTGAATCAATTTCCATCAGCAGTGTCAGCTCATTGTCCCGCCCCCCGCAGTGATTGTTCTTTATTTCCCTTTCTGTGCAATGATAAGTATTGGACCTGTCAATCACCCTGCACATGGTCACGCCCCCTGCAGGTCAGTCTCCGCCCCCTGGTGTGTCTCTCGCAGGCAGGGCGGTGCGGAGCGCAGTTAGCTGCTGGCTGCGGTTGAAGGATGCAGATGTGTACCGTGTGCTGGGTGCCGGGACTGCTCCTCCTCATAGGGACTGCTGTGTGCCTGGCTGCCTGTCCCTGCTCGGACCCGGCTCTGTGTCAGCCCATCCAACACTCCCGGGACTTCGAGGTACAGAACCTGGGGGGTAGGGGAGCTGGCTGCACTCCATCGTGTCAATGTAACTTCCTGATTCCTCTACTGACACATGACGCTGCTGTAAATGATTGAATACCGAGCTGTCATCCCTGCACTGAGAGCAACCAATGGGGGAGCTCAGGTTAGGAGATGAGTGCTGGCATCTGATTGGTTGTTGCTCTTGCAGATGCAGGTTAGGAGATGGGTGCTGGCGTCTGATTGGTTGTTGCTCTGGGAGATGCAGGTTAGGAGTTGGGTGCGGGCGTCTGATTGGTTGTTGCTCTGGGGGATGCAGTTTAGGAGATGAGAGATGACATCTGGTTGTTGCTAAATGTGGATGCATAGTTAGGAGATGAGTTTTGGCATCTGATTGGGTGTTGCTCTGGGGGACGTAGAGTTAGGAGTAGAGTCATCGCATCTGATTGGTTGTTGCACTTTAACTTTATTGCAGCCACATTGGAGACTAATGTGGCTGCTTGAGCACCACAGAGCCCACACAGATACTAGTATTGGTACATCCCTACATTTTACGGTTGGGGGCCACCACAACTTGGCAAATGTTACCAAGGAGTCACGGCCCTAGAAAGGTTGAAAACCACTGCCTTAGAGTTTCCCGGGCAGGACACCTGAAGTTTTGTAGCAACAAATTTGTGTTGGCCTTTAAAGCTGAACTCATAAATATTGTGCTAATACAAGAGTCATGTGTAATGTTAATTGAATCTTGATGCTCTTGGTGTATTTCTTCCAAATCTGTACAGTGATCCAATGTCAAAATGTGCCACTTCCTGTAATAAAGACCGGTCACTGCTGCTCTCTCTCCTTTTGCAGGGTGACTGGTCTTGTCTCCGCCCCTCATATAGTTTTCTGCATACAGCCTGTAGCGGGTGGAGCCTGCTGGGTCCCTCCCACAGCTCTGCTCTCTACACAAGCTTTGTACAACGATGTGATGTTGTCACCGCTACTCTAACAAGGCAATATCTGAGTTTGCAAAGGTATTTGGTGCGCACAACGTGGATTTATATCCTTTGTGGCTACTGTGGGTTATATGTGATTGAACATTTTTGTGCCCGGAGTTCAGCTTTAAGATGGTCATTGTGCCTACTTGCATGTATAAGAAGAGCCCACCAGGCCTAGCGGACTTTACTTTCACTTGCATTTACATAACTGAAAGATACCAATTGCAGTGTTCAGACTGTGAAATATCTAGATCAGTGGTAGGCAACATCAGCACTCCAGCTGTGATGGAACTACGAGTCCCATGAGGCATTGCAACACTGACAGCCACAGGCGTGACTCCTAAAGGCATAGGCACCCTAACTGTCCCCTCCGCTCTTCCAAAGACCTCCTGCTTTCCAGCTCCCTCGTCAATACCTCCCATGCTTGCCTCCAGGACTCCTCTAGAGTCTCTCCCATCCTCTGGATCTCTTTACCCCACCCTGGCCGTCTATCTCTCACTCTGACTGCCTTTAGGCGATCCCTTAACCTGTTGCCGTCCGCCCGTAGTAGAAAAACGGACGGACGGCACTGAGTACTCAGTACTTGGTGTGGGCCCCTTTTGCAGCAATTACTGCAATTACTTTTGCACGATATTCTAATTATTCGAGTTTCACCTGTATGCCTCCAAAAAAACTCTATCTGTCCCAAAAAAATATTAACATAAATTGCAAGGCATGCTGACCGGTGAAATTTTTGACTGACTGGTGAGACACCCTTACATTTTTCAAGCCCTGTATGTGTGTATATATATTTACAGAACATAAACTGCCTCATGTTGCAGTGATGTCAGTTTTTGTTAGGCCTTGTTCACACCAAGCGCGTTCCAGGAGCAGAGCAGTTACAGACCGGATCAAAACTGCGTCCAATGTAGTCCAATGGTATTTTGGGCTCTAGTTCACACCGCAGCGTTCAGTTCCAGAGCATGTAAAAAAAACTGCTCTGGAACGCATGCAAACGCATAAAAAATGCATGCAAACGCACTGAAAGCCCATTTTAAAACTTAAAAAAAACGGCCCGGAACGCATCAAAAAACGCGGCATAACCCACTGCACTGCGTGTGCAGAAACTCATGCAGATCTGGTCTGCATTTGGTGTGAACAAGCCCTTAAGGTGAAACAAAAATGGCTGGTGCTATGGGCTGCAGTTGCCCTTCAGTGTGGTATTGTTGGTTATTCAAGATGAGTGAATTATTACAACACTGATCTTCTAAGTTTCTCTTCACAGGTCTATGTCTTCCTCGTACGTGGCAAAAACTGGAAGCACTATGACTGGTCTGAGGTGACTACAGTGGCTTTATTTGCCCCCTATGACCCCGAGCTCATGTGCTTTGCACACTCCAAAGGAGCAAGATACGTACTAACTGGTGAGAAATAACTTGATGATGCATTGGTTCATCAAATGGTGTTCTATGATCCATAACCGGTTCACTAATTCATTCTGAAGGGTTTCAAATATTGTTTGACAGATGAATATATTGTGAGCATCTGGCAGGCTGAATTGGAAGCCAATTTTTGACAGGTCATGTGACTTGTCTGATTTTTCAAAATTGATACGCGAGTCCCTGTTCACACCTGGGCATTTTGTTGCTGAAAGCTTAAGCGTCAAAACACGCAACACAAGAATTCCTATTCATTCCTATGGCCCCTGTTCACACCTGAGAGTTTAGCAGCAAGCTGTAAAAACACCGAACGCTTGAAAAGGTGCATGAGCTTCTTTCAGGCAGATTCAGCGCGTTTGTGCTCCATTGATTTTAATGGAAAACGCTCCAAAAACACGCATGCGGGGCTTTTGCGTGTTTTTGTGCAAAAAGAACGCGCTTTTTTAAGGCGCATATACATTGTGGAAGACCACCTGCAAAGCACACTGGGAAGCAAAATGGCTGATTCATGTCTGCAAAACTTTGACTCTGAGGCATTTATAAGTCTAAGTCCTCGTTCACACCTGAACGTTTTGTAGCGCGTTCTACGCTCGACGAACGCTCTACAAAACGCTCAAAAATATAAATCCCATTGTATTCAATGGTCTCGTTCCCACCATTGGTGTATTTCCTCCCGTCCCTAACGCGCTACAAAACGGCCCACGCCTGAAAAGGTACAGGTACTACTTTGGGCCGTTTTGTTGCGCGTTTCCATTGGGATACAGCCAAGTAGCCTTCGGAAATGCGCGACGGTCGCGCAACTTTTTTTACCGCGAACCGCGGTAAAAAACGCGTGACAGACAGACGCGCATATGCAATACGCCTAGGTGTGAACGAGACCTAATACAGGCACAACCATGCCTCTATGACCTGCGCAACCCCCTTTATAAAAACAGAGGAAGGAGGAGGCGGGGCTTGGATGCAAATTGCTTGCCAGGTTTGGCCAGAATAGGAATCTTTCCCTCCATCCCTGAAGAACAGCAAAGGTAAAACATGTGACATGTGGTGCATCTAAGGTTTGTTGTGATACTGTTGTAGCTCATGTTTCTGCTTGCTTGTGTGGCTATTGTAGGTCTGTGCAGCTGCAGATCTCCATGTGTTGTGGAACTACAAATCCCAGTATGCAGCTACCTCTGAGTGTCATGCCTGTTTCTCTTTTGGGTGTACAGACTTTTATATGCATCGCTTCTCGGGGTTCTCTGTCTCCTCCCACCCAGGAGGGGGGTTTCTCTTCGGGAGATCCCCCCTGCCTAGTACTGTGAGGGACCTGTTTCGGCAGGTCCCCGAAGGAAATGGGTCCACCGGCCTTTTCGGGTTGGTGGGCCGACAGTCTCAACCCCTGTCAGGAGCCTTGCTCCCCGGGGGGTCTGGAAAGTAGGTCCCTTCTTTGGAAGGACCTTGCACCCTTGTGCACGTTTTTGTGTGCTGTTATTTCACGGTTGCACTTTTTTTTGCTCACAGGGGGAAGTTTTGATGCACGTCCACGGGCTTCGATAAAACAGGACTTGTAGTTCCACATCTGCTGAAAGGCTGATGTTGTTAACCCCTTGGCTAATGTGTAGGAGTTTGTCATGGGCAGGACTTCTTCTTTTCATTGGACAACACTCAATACACCCATATGCAGAAACACGTCCAAAACGCGCATCTATTTAGGGAAAACGCGCGTAAAACCGCGCAGAGATGCTGACGCCTAGGTGTGAATGGGGACTAACAGGCCACATTTTGAAAGCTGTGCAGCAGAGAGGCATCGTAATCTCCTTTGCATGAATTATCTCCTTTTTTTTTCCCCTGGCATTTTAGGAGATGTGTCCGTGAAGAAAATCGTAGACCCAAAGGTGAGAGCTGACTGGATTGCAGAGAAGGTGAACCTGGCCAAGGCTCAGTACATGGATGGGATCAACTTGGACATCGAGCAGCCGGTACTTCCCCAAACGCCCGAGTATTACGCTCTGACGGATCTGGTGAAGGAGACCACAGAGGCCTTTCACAGAGAAATCCCCGGATCTCAGGTGACAAAGCTGCCTTTACTTTGGGCCTGTTTAGACAGAACCAGTAGCCACATTTAAAGGATTTTACAGGCTTGGCCCAAATTTACTCTCAAACCTTTCTTTCTACCTCTGGATCATGGGACAGCATTCATTTTTTTTCTTTTACTATGTTCCTGTCGCAGTAACCAGATTGTATTACTATCCGTGACCTCAACGCCAGACTTGTAAAATTCTTACAGGGGTATCTGATGGGCTCCAGGATCCTATTGATACAGGCTTTCCCACTTAGAGCTACATCTACCAATAGCCCTTTCCCTACACAGAGTGTGTTGTCAGGCTACTGGAAGTAAAGACAACAGGGTTTTGCATGGAAAGAAATCAATGTACAGTATGCATGTGTAGCAGGACAAAAAAGGGGAAAGATGCTCCCCCTTATCAAAAATTCACAAAATAGGAGCATTTTGAGAATGCTCTCTGACTGCCATTCTGATTTTAATACTCTGATAGAGGGGGGAAGCTCTGACACTAATTTACAGCATGCTTGTTCCCAGTGCAAAAATGAAATGTAGCCAGACAGCGTTTTCAAAAGTTATATAGGGTCTAGAGGGAACAAGCATTTTCACAGTGGTGAAAGCGATGGTGGTGAAGGAGGCCGGGGCCCAGCAGCGGGCAGCTCGGGGCTGACAGATAAGGGGAGCACAGTGTGCAGGGAAAGGGACCCCAACCAGCCCACCTGAGACCCTGCAGAGCCCACCATAGAGAGTCTATGGTGGGCTCTGCAGGGTCACTCTCGGGTGGGCTGTGCGGGGTCTCTTGTGGGCTGGGGGGGTCTATAGTGGGCTATGCAACAGTGAGCAGCCGAGTGATCTGTTCTTCGGTTTTGACAGCAGAGCTGAAGAGAAGGAGACGCTGCAGGAACGGGAACATGTTCTGGTGTAGGTACTTTTAAGGTACGCCCCTGCACTAGTGTCTAGAACTCTTGGCTCTATATAATTGCTGAGCAAGCTTTCTGCTTAGTGCAATCTCAGACAGTAAAGATCATGCTGGCATCTGTTGTCACAAACACCAATCGTGCCCTCTCCTGCCATGTTGTTGTGCAACATAGTAACAAGGTCATTAATGTTGGCTGCCAGATACTAGATTGTGATGTTTAACCTTTGATAGAACAGAAACTAAAGTTGCTTTAAAAGAAACTGTAGTGAAGAAGAAAAGAGACCTGTCATTACTAACTTCACTCCTTGAACGTCATGCAGATTTGTGAGCCGCCTCACCAAAGCAAGTTAGCCTGATAAATAAGATGGTCTTTGGCACCACTGGATGCCAGCAATGGAAGATCTAGAGCCTCTGTTTGTACAAAACAGTAACTGACTGATTAGGAACTAATTGCACTTAACTACACATTTTGATTGTATCTGCGTCTACAGTATGTGCATTTCTGATGATGGACTACAATCTCATGTTTAGTTTACTGATTGGTATTGTGATTGTAGTCCATCACTGGAGAGAGCTTGGAGCGGTGACTACTTTACAACACACAGGGACCATGGGGAACAAAAGTAGCCCCCCTCCAGAAGGAAGGACAGTGTCAGCACCAATTCAGAGATGATTTCAGGATCTACAGTCGAGTGATACACAAATAAGCTATGATTTAATTAATAGTTGGGGTACTTGAATGAATTTTTAAGATTTACCTCCTGAATTTAGTGTCACTTGAATTTTTCATGTGTGGGAAGAGATATGGAGCACAGACTGACAGTGTCAGCAGCCCAATGAATACATTTGTTTGACTTGGAAAAGATTGTGGTGCACAGACTGAGAGCTCTGTGGATACATTTGTCCCAATCATTTGTTTCCAACTAGCACTTATGTGCGACAGTATACTTAGTTAAGCAAAACAAAAGAAATGGCAAACGCACTCACCAACCATTGATGAGTGCGTTTGCCATTTGTTTTGCTTGACTGATTTGGTGCAGTGACGCATGGGGGGGGGTCCCAGCTGCTGTTGTGATGTGCGGGATCCCTTGTGCGTCCCTGTGCCTTTTAAGGAGGTTGGGCTTCCTCCTGACAAACCTGCACCCAATTTTATCTTTTGCCCCATGTGCTCCAAGATGGAGACTCTCATAGGTTAGAGTTAGGGCCGCACTACACAGGGGAGCCCTGGCGCGGCTGTGCGGCTTTCACATATTCTGCAGAAGACGTGTATCCAAACCTCTGTTTTTAACCCTAGCGGTTTTTTGCATGCTGACTGGTGAGTGTGCTGGGAAACTTTTTGCTGTTGTACAGTATACTTAGTTAGTCGCAAGTTTCTCTTTGTCAGTAATTCATGAATGGACTAAACACTACAATAGGAACTTAGCCGCAATATGCGACTGAATTGATGATTGCAACTGTTTAAAGAATGTAGAGTGTGTGACAGGATTGATAAATTCCCCCCATAATGTGGAACTGAACACAGAAATGTTATAACATTCCCAGCTTAATGGTAGAAGGGACTTTATATGTATTTTCTTCATTTCTGGAACCCAGAAATAAGTTAGTATAATGTGCAAACATGGCATGCATGCTTGCTGTTAAAGGCTTGTTAGGCCAGAAATACAGGTTGAGCTAGTAAAAAAATCTACTGTATTTCCTTAAAGGAGAACTATGGGATAAGTGAAGTACACTCATCCCAATAGTTGGAGCCGACGTGTGACACTGAAATTGTCGCATGTCGGCTCTATAGCTCGAGATCTGAGTGATTACATACCGCTGATCACTCAGTTCCCTGACCGAGAGCAGTGACCGTCAGTCACTTCTCCCTGCAGGGATTCCCCTTTCCATTCCTCCGGAGCTAACTGAAGGGACAGGCGGGGGCGAGCGCCACTGGTTCTGACTCTGGATAGGCAGAGGTAGCTGTCAATCAGGTAGCGGGGTGGATCCAGACAGTATTGTGCCGTTCTGCTATTTGCTGAGTTTTGGGTCACAGGAGGACATTAGTAAATGTCCTCCTGTGAGCCAAAAGAGAACTAACGCCAAAAAAGGTTCGGACATAGTTCTCTTTTAAAGCGTATCTAAATCCCAAAACTAAACCCCCCCTTTTGTTTTTTTATTACGTTCTAGCTAAAAAAATAGGGGTTTTAACAATTTTTAATACTGCCACTTCGTGACACAAAATGGTGTGTATGTGGTTGGGGCACTGCATTGTGACAACCTCTAGTTCTGGCCAATTGTGGTTCGTTTTTTTTTTTGTAAAGAAAGGGGTACATATAATAAAATCATATTCTGTTTCAAGCCAAACTCCAGCCAACACTTTTCGTAAAGGAAGAATCCAGCCTCATTCTATTCCACACTGAATCAGTTTATTGAAAGTTCGGCAGTGACACTGAGTCCTGCCGAGGTCCGCCCCCTCTGACATGTTTCACCCAATCCTGGTCTTAGTCATAGAGCTCGCTATATACTATATTATTATTATATACAGGCTTTATATAGCGCCAACAGTTTGCGCAGCGCTTTACAATATAAGGAAGACATAATCACAATACAATTCAAGACAAGGTGGTAAGGAGGGCCCTGCCCCTGAGGGCTTGCAGTCTAAAAGGGAGGGGGAAGTGATACATGAGGAGGTAGCTGTGTGGGGATGAATTGTATGAGAACGTGATGGTTCAGTGGTTAGGTTGAGGTGGGATATACATACTATATACTTGTTTGGTAGCGAGAACACACTCCTGCCAGCGAGCACCTAGCTGTCTTTCCCCTGCTGGAGGAGCGGTGCTTTATTTCTGTGTCTTGGTGTTCCAACCAACACTTTCTTTAGTTTTGGACAGAATTTGGAAGGCTAAAGACATATATCAAGTTTTCTTTCGCTGCCTGTGCCCCAGGTGAGGAGATTTCAGGTCAAATGTAATGTAATGCAATACCACATTATGGCCAGTAGATGGAGTATAGGAGCATAGGAAATAAGTATTTATTTCCTGTACTCTACAGCTCCATCTAGTGGGCATACTGCTGTATAACATCACATTCAACGTGAAAAGAAAACATACTAAGAATGCTAACTTTTGCCTCTATTTGCACAGAACAAATGCTCTCAGAATTTTGCAGGGCAAATGGCTCTGCAAATTGTTTATAAATAGACCCCTAAATGTCCATGTTGCAGTTTGCGTGCTTACTGGAGAGATCTCCCCAGTAAGAATGACAAAAAAAAAAAACATGACAGAGCTTCTATTCTCTTCCCTTCCTTATCCAAAATTCAGTAAAAAAATTATTGACATGAGTTGATTTCAGTGTACGTCATAATCTACTATACTCAAATCTACTTATCCCAATTAGGTGAAACGCGTTAGAGGAGAGTGACCAGCAGGCAGGGATCATAAGTTTGAAGCTGACTGGATTTTACAAACAAAGAAGTGCTGGGTGAAGGTTGTGTGCGGCTGTTTCTTTGGATTTGCATTTGTTGCGTAGTATGGATGGTTCTCTGGCCAGCACCTGCAATGAACCCAAGCAGTGGAACTGTGATGTGGAAGGAGCGGTGGAGGTCTCTCTCTGCATTTGAATATGTCATAATCTATGTTACTCTAATTGCAGGTGACCTTTGATGTTGCGTGGTCCCCCAAATATGTGGATGTTCGTTGCTATAACTATTCTGCCATAGCGGAGCTGTCCGACTTTTTGTTTGTAATGTCCTATGATGAGCAATCTCAGATCTGGACAGAATGTATCGCTGGAGCCAACGCACCATTTAACCAAACCATAACTGGTGAGCATGGACTTATGTTATGACATGTTGATATATCGGCACCATTATATTCCGCAGTGCTCCACAGAGTACATAGAACCTTTGCCCCAGAGGAGCTTATGTTATCAGGTCTAACGTCAGCATAGGGGGTTGTGAAGAGAAAGGTTTGTTGCACTACCGGATAATCCCAAATATGGGGAAGGGTGCTTGGAATGACCGCGGATGGCGCCGCCATTCACTTTTCAATCGTGAATTTATTCAAAACTTATGTCAAATACACAAGCGCTTTCGGGACCACACAGGATCCCTTCATCAGGCATAGCAGTGTCACTGCTATGCCTGATGAAGGGATCCTGCGTGGTCCCGAAAGCAGTGTCACTGCTATGCCTGATGAAGGGATCCTGCGTGGTCCCGAAAGCAGTGTCACTGCTATGCCTGATGAAGGGATCCTGCGTGGTCCCGAAAGCAGTGTCACTGCTATGCCTGATGAAGGGATCCTGCGTGGTCCCGAAAGCAGTGTCACTGCTATGCCTGATGAAGGGATCCTGCGTGGTCCCGAAAGCAGTGTCACTGCTATGCCTGATGAAGGGATCCTGCGTGGTCCCGAAAGCAGTGTCACTGCTATGCCTGATGAAGGGATCCTGCGTGGTCCCGAAAGCAGTGTCACTGCTATGCCTGATGAAGGGATCCTGCGTGGTCCCGAAAGCAGTGTCACTGCTATGCCTGATGAAGGGATCCTGCGTGGTCCCGAAAGCAGTGTCACTGCTATGCCTGATGAAGGGATCCTGCGTGGTCCCGAAAGCAGTGTCACTGCTATGCCTGATGAAGGGATCCTGCGTGGTCCCGAAAGCAGTGTCACTGCTATGCCTGATGAAGGGATCCTGCGTGGTCCCGAAAGCAGTGTCACTGCTATGCCTGATGAAGGGATCCTGCGTGGTCCCGAAAGCAGTGTCACTGCTATGCCTGATGAAGGGATCCTGCGTGGTCCCGAAAGCAGTGTCACTGCTATGCCTGATGAAGGGATCCTGCGTGGTCCCGAAAGCAGTGTCACTGCTATGCCTGATGAAGGGATCCTGCGTGGTCCCGAAAGCAGTGTCACTGCTATGCCTGATGAAGGGATCCTGCGTGGTCCCGAAAGCAGTGTCACTGCTATGCCTGATGAAGGGATCCTGCGTGGTCCCGAAAGCAGTGTCACTGCTATGCCTGATGAAGGGATCCTGCGTGGTCCCGAAAGCAGAAGGATCCCTTCATCAGGCATAGCAGTGTCACTGCTATGCCTGATGAAGGGATCCTGCGTGGTCCCGAAAGCAGTATCACTGCTATGCCTGATGAAGGGATCCTGCATGGTCCCGAAAGCAGTGTCACTGCTATGCCTGATGAAGGGATCCTGCGTGGTCCCGAAAGCAGTATCACTGCTATGCCTGATGAAGGGATCCTGCGTGGTCCCGAAAGCAGTATCACTGCTATGCCTGATGAAGGGATCCTGCGTGGTCCCGAAAGCAGTATCACTGCTATGCCTGATGAAGGGATCCTGCGTGGTCCCGAAAGCAGTATCACTGCTATGCCTGATGAAGGGATCCTGCGTGGTCCCGAAAGCAGTATCACTGCTATGCCTGATGAAGGGATCCTGCGTGGTCCCGAAAGCAGTATCACTGCTATGCCTGATGAAGGGATCCTGCGTGGTCCCGAAAGCAGTATCACTGCTATGCCTGATGAAGGGATCCTGCGTGGTCCCGAAAGCAGTATCACTGCTATGCCTGATGAAGGGATCCTGCGTGGTCCCGAACACGCTTGTGTATTTGACATAAGTTTTGAATAAATTCACGATTGACTATCCTTGAAGGAGTCTGGTGTGCTGGTGACATCTCTTTATTATCAGCATAGGGGGTTGTGCCACATCATCAGGATCCCACTCTCTTAGATGATATCAGGCATATATTTGAAAGTCGGATTGTAAGGTACATGACAAGCTTCAGTAAGTTGATCTCAGCAAAGGGGTGTTTCTTTGGGTGGCACAGCGACTTGGAAAATGGGACTCCAGACTTGCCTAGCCCTATGGAAATATCTTTTTTTAAAGTTTCTATTTCCAAAGAATCTTCATGTGGCAACTAAATGGTGATCCTTGAAGAGTTTTGTGGTTTTGGGTGTCTGTAAGCTCCAGTTAGACAGTCTTTGGCAGGGCCAGATTCTCGGTACATATGTGAAGATAAATTTGTTAAAAATAAACATTTCTTTTCCAGGTTACGAGCAGTTCATTAATATAAGCATTGATCCGAAGAAGCTTGTAATGGGTGTCCCGTGGTATGGTTATGATTATGTCTGTCTCAATTTAACAGAGGTGTGGTTTTTTCGGTTTTTTTTCTTATTATGTCTGCATTATATGTACTTTTATGTCTGTGTGCAATTGCAATCAGCTTTGGTTTTTTATATATTCATAGGGACAGTCATAGTAACTCGATTTTTTATTTTGCTTTGCCTTCTATTTAGACTCTTTATCTCAACACATTTTCTATATATATTGTAACAAGGACACTCCACTGTAGACCGGAGGTGCAAGTCAGATGCAGTTTATTTGCTTTCAAAACGGTAGATAACATGAAATCCAACATAAATAGCCTGCTGTAGCATATAACAGATAAGGGCTCACCGACATCTGTCTCTCTTGCAGCACTGCTGCTCCGGCCTCAATCTTTAGGGCCACTGTCTGGTTCCTCCAGACAACAGCAATAACATGCCAATCCTCTCAATATGGTTCGCAAACCCCGCAGCTCCCTGCTGCACTGGCCTCCACTGACTCCAGGGTGGAGCTCTCCTGACTCACATGTGGGGCCCTGAACACATCCCAACACATTACATGAGGGATGTAAACAGGTGCACAATCAGGTGCTGGTCACCACCAAAGCATGGACCCAGGAATGGAGATCTCTTCCCACCCAGAGCTCTAAGAAATCTCCTGGCTCCAGGATCCCAACTATGATCCAGAAAACCCAGAAAGAACTGAAAAGGCAGTTCTCTCCTGGTA